AAAGTGAGGGTTTTTGCGCGCGGTGGCTTCGAGCTGGGAGTAGTTCCCTGAAGGGATCACCGGCGCAGAGGGAGTTTGGTTTGGAGGCGTGGTGAAAGCGCCAGATGGCGGTGAGTTCTTTTTCTGGGAGGGAGGAGACTTTGGGGAGGTCGAGGACGGAGGAGAGGGGTTTTATGCCGGAGGAGTCGATTTTTTTAGAGGGGGTTCGCGGTGGTGGGGGTGGTGGTGATTGTGCAGGTGAGTTTGGTTGTGATAATGGGGATTGTGGTGATGGTGGGGGCGTTGGGGGTACGACAACGTCGGCTTCTTTGCGGAGTTTTTGGATCTTCTCGGCGTAGGCGGCTTTGAGGGAATCGATTGTCTCGTAGCCTTCTTCTTGGGCCTTGCGAGCGAGCTTTTCGCGGTATTTTTCGAGGGTGTTGAGGGGTTGTTGGGTTGTGGCTAGGAGGCGGATGTCGTGGACTTGGGCCCAGCGGCGTTGGTGGGAGGCGCGGAGGGTTCGGGCCGCGCTGGAGAGGAGGTGACGGAGCATGGGGGGGCGGAGGGACGCCATGGTGGGTGTTGTGGTTGGTGGTGGTGTTTACTGTGAGGGACGACGGCGAGGTTCAAAAAATGTTTAATTGACGTCAGGGTCTATCTTGGCGGGGATTAGTAGATAACCCTAACCCTGATTCTGGCACGGTTGTGATGTTCAATGTCAAGAGAATCACATCTTTCTTACTCTTTATTTTTCGTCACTCACTTTCATCCTTCTCCCATTCTCACGATTCATGAATCCTACTTTGTTGTAGATTCACGGCGTCATGTCTGTCAACATTGTGAACTCAGACGTGGAATTGTTTACATAATACCAAGGCCGAATGTCAGAGGCTCTGAAACACAGGGCTGGTGGATCTTGACTTTCGACACCAGGTTTCACCAGGTCGCAGTCGACAGGCATCCCCAACCGAGCGCCTGTCCCAAGCTTCGTGTCAACCTCCGTCTAATGTTTCGAGCACCGCCGGGATGGGAACAATAGCCGGAGATTTCAACGGTAATGGTACTCTCTTGCGAGATGATCGCTCGGTTGAGCAACAGATCGCTGTCTCTCCCGTTGATATTTTGGCTTGCAGTTAGAGGTTTGGCAACAGGCGAAGTTGGTTCATGCTGAAGAACCTCACATGCTTCACCATGGCGAGCATGGAGATCTTTACAACTGGTGACAGGTTCAACATTGAACAAACTGGGCTTGGACTCAGTGCAATCACCACCATCCAGTGATGCCTTCAACTAAGCTTAGCGTCGTCCCGACACATGGGATGGCGTTGGGGAAAGGGGTAGGGGCTGAGGCAGATCAGATGCGACACTGTTCAAAACAACGCTTGGCTATGACTTCCCGACTGGGCAATGGAGATCTTCTGGTGGTTCGTTGTGGGATTCTCGTAGACTCCGAAAACCCGATCACGTTAACATGGGAATAACCCCATGTTTTGAGCTGGCGCCAACTTCGACCCCTGCCTTGATGATACGAGGCTGTTTTCCATTTGAGTGGAATCGTTCGTTACTGGGATGATGAGGTATGGTACTCTACACCACTTTCAATGACACACTGGCTTGGAAAGGGGTTTTTAGTCTTCAAGTAGTTCGCTATATAAGACCAAGTGGTCAGCCAGCAAAGATCAATATTCTTTTTCTCTCTTCAGCAGCGACAACAACTTTCTTCTCGTCTCTGTTCATCACTTTTTTCACTTCTTACACAGCTGTGCTGTCTTAACATCAACTTTACGCATTCATTCCATTTTATTTACAGCCAGCTACTCTCCCAACACTCCCTCTTCAAAATTACCAAATTCGTCAACATGTTCTTCAAGGCCACCTTCCTTTTCTCCCTCCTCGCCACCTCTTTGGCTCTCCCCACTGGTACCGCTAGCCGCAACGTCGAGAAGAGAGGTATTCTTCAGGTCCAGAACTACTCTCAGTTCCAAGTCTCCGGCGGTGTCGCTGGCAATGCCCTCACCGAGGTCAATGCCAAGTTTCCCGTAAGTTTACCTATGCTTAGTGCTCAACTTCCTCGTCATGTACTAACTATTGATTAGATCAATCTGAATAATCCTGGCTCCGTCGACGCCGAGGATCTCGCCATCCTCAAGGCTGCTCGCAAGACGGCCGAAAACGCCGAGACCAAGGCCGGTGGCTTCAACGAGGCCATCGAAGCGGCGGGCGGTGAGAAGACCACTACCGGCAGGGCTCTCCAGAACGGCAAGATCAAGAACAAGGTTCTGAAGCTGCAGCTCCAGGTTATGATTGCTCAGATTGAGGCTGCTCAGGGCAAGGACACTGCTGCGAAGCTTGCTGATGTCACCAAGAAGTTGAACAAGAATGTTGAGACTGATCAGAAGAACGCTGGCCAGCTGAGCACTACTGTTAACTTTCAGGGTACTAGCCAGCCTTAAGGGGTTGTTCCAGTGGTTGTATATAATTTGAAATGATGCACATATTCTTTCCATCTCCCTGTCAAATCTGGGCACAGACAGCTGCACCTTCTTGCTTCTATTGTTGAAATTTATAGGTCAACCAAGATAGGTAGGTACGTGCTGAGGTGCGCAACCCATGAATTAAATGATGCAGTGATAGAAGGCCATACATCCATGTTACATCATCCTCTTCTTTTGCCAGTGTTATGTTCGCGAGCGCACGTTACTAAACGGGTAAGGTCAAGCCACATACCTTTTGCGAGGCATGCGAAATCCCCCAAACCTCTGTCCATGCTGTTGGCTGCATTAGCCGCCGAGAAACACCACAAGGCTCTCACTGGCAGCAGCTGATTGGTGAGCAAGGTAAGGAATTCTATTGTCGATTCCAGACCGCTAGCATCTGCGAAATCATCGTGTTATCCTGGGCGCTTCCAAAATACCTTCCTTCAACAATAAGACTATTATGTCTCTCGTGCGAGCGGGGATTGCATTATCGAAGGCGGAAGAGAGATTGAGAGATGCTGTCGCGCAATATGAGAAAGACCTCAACCTCGACCAGCAGAAGACCTTGCTTGCCTACAGGCTTCAAGCACACAATTCCCCCCCAGATGTTAGCGACGTCATGCGAATTACGGCGGAGATTGACCGCGAGGTGTCCAAAACCAAAGTGTTTCGTGGCCGTTGTTTCGGCCCCCGGTTCACCAACATTTTACAAGCCGTTCAACAATTTGCAGCACTCGGAGATGTTATTGTTGGAGGCTCTCAGAATCTTATTGCTTGTGGAGTATGGTCACTGGTACGATTCAGCTTGCTTGTAGGAACTTTGTATGGTGTTCTTTTCAGAATGATGACTGACTACTACCTCAGCTGACGGCGAATTTCTCTGCGTGTGTCGAGAGGCTCTCCAAGTTATTGATGGATGCTGGCCGTGCTGCGCCACGTTATCAAGAGATGGCTTTGCTCTACCCGCAATCCCGGTCGCTCCGGTCAAACATGTGCGAATACTTTACCGTTGTCGTCCGTCTGTGTCACCAACTCGTGATGTTCACGAAACAATCTATCTTTCAACAGTTGAAAGCCTTCTTGAGTGACCAAGAGATGACTTCGTTTCGAGACCAGCTTGACCACTGGGCTGTCTCAATTAAAGCGGAAGTCTGGCTCCTCACGAATAAAAGCATCGAAGAGCAAGGAATGAGTTTGAAGGCCATCATGAGGTCAGGAAAGACTCGTCGAGCAGAGAAAGCAAAGTTCAAAGTCCTCAACTATTGTTCGACTTACGATTATCAGTCCACTTGGAAAGAGCTACGAAAAGCGGGCAACACAAGTCTTCTTCAGGGCAGCGCGGAGTATCACAGCTGGAAAACCGCACGACAGTCTGCAACTCTCATATGCCAGGGAAAACTAGGATCTGGAAAGTCAGTTCTGCTGGCCAATATGGTTGCAGATCTAGGCCTACACGTTGGCAGTGCGAAGTGTTCTATCGTCTATTTCTTCTGTCGACACAATATAGACGAAAGCTTGAAAGCTCAAACGATTATCGGATCGATCGTTCGACAGCTTCTGACCCGTGTCGCCGACTTTACCGAGATTGAGCGCCAGATAGTTGAAGATTACTCGCCAAGATCGAGTTTAGCCGTTGACGAGGGATATCGAATGCTTCAGGACTGTTTCCCGGCAGGCTTGGAAGCCTTTATAATCCTCGACGGTTTGGACGAATGCACCGAGAAAGAGAAGGCCACTGTCTACGACCAACTACAGACACTTCAGAAGAGATTTACTTTGCGTATATGCCTTTCAGATAGGCTGGAGCTGGACACTTTCTTTCCAGCACGCGCAGCCCAGCTTTTGAATCTGCACCGACTCTCCGTTCGCAACAATGCTGCTGATATCGCCAACTTCATAGATGACGAGTTGGAAAGGCTCATCAAGTCGAACAGGCTGAGGTTAACAGATCCCACCCTAGTACTAGAGATTGCCGATGCTCTCTTGGAAGGCGCACAGGGGATGTTTCTTTGGGTGGCACTCCAGATCTCAGATTTATGCCAACAAGAGAATCAGACAGATGCCGACATCCGTCGCGCCTTGAAAAATCTACCCAAGGACCTCAACGAGACATTCTCGCGAATCCTTAGAAACGCAACGGAAAACAGCAAGGGTTATCAAAACCAGGTGCTCAAAGTTTTAACAACGGTATACCGACCTTTGACGGCAGAGGAGCTTCGAGAGGCTCTAAGTATTGTACCTGGAAACCGCGTTTGGAATTCGGAAGAGCTCATCAGCGATATCTATGCCGTACTAGCAAGTTGTGGGAGTCTCGTTATGGTCGATGAAGAATCGCTAACGATACGTATTGTCCACCAAAGCGTCGTTCAGTTTTTGTTTGGCGAATATAAAGGTGCAGCACGACCAATCATTACACGAGAAGGGGCGGAAAAAGCAGTGGGCGAGATTGTTATAACATATCTTTCTTATGATGTGTTCGATAGTTCTATCTCGGTCAGGGTTGCACCCGAGATACCAGCCGCACCAGCAAATATCATCCGGACAATGGACATTCCACTCAGCGTCCGTGATACTGCAGTAAAATTGCTGCAGCTACGAAAACAGCCTGGATTTGATATGGGCCAAGTCCTTTTCGCCACTAGTCAACAGTCATCAACATATGTAGAAAAATGGCCATTCTACGGCTATGCGAAAGAACACTGGGAACGCCACTCAAGATACATTGAAACAAACAACTTGGAAATGATGCGACTCTTGATCTCGGTTGCGCATAAGCAAGTAATCCTCGAGGAGAACGACACGTTGGTACGATGGGCCATAAGACACAAGCACAATCCCGTCGCCCAGGCCGCCACCGATGAAAGGAAATTCACCGAGTCCCTCATGCAATCTATTGTCCACGGAGACAGCGATTCTGCGATGAAACTTGTTGGCGAGATTCCATGGCGTTATGAAGAATTCAACTATCAACTCTGGGCGATTGCTGCAAAACGACCTTTTTTTTGCAGCGGGCAACTCTTGAATAACATGCTCCGTCAAGCAGTTATTTTGGAAAAGTTCAAGGGTCCCGAAGTTCTTGGTCGACTGCTCAAGACTGGTATACGGCTGGACAACATTGCCCTTCTACGCTTGCTTGAAGAACACAAATATGACCTTCTCAGTCTCATTCTTAAAGAGAACATAGATGTTGAATGCCGCAGCGTCGAGGGGGGCCAGACGCTTCTCTATTGGGCCTCATGCGGTCTTAGCCATGGGATTGTTCAGATGCTTTTGCAGGCTGGCGCAAATGTCAACTCGGTCGAGACCATACACGGAGAGACGCCGCTGATCGGAGCCACGAGGCACCAGAGATTGTCAACTGTCGAACTTCTTGCTACTCACGGAGCCGAGTTAGATGCAAGGGATAGACACGGAGATACGGCTCTGACGAAAGCGGCCGCACTATGGGACAGTGATATCGTCGAAGTCCTTTTGAGGCAGGGGGCAGATCCGAACGTCAAACACCCCTGGGGCATGACAGCGTTAAATCGTGCACTATCTAAAGTCCGATCCGAAGAAGATTCGAAACTGGCCGCATGTGTGGATGCCCTAATTACTTGGGGGGCTGATATACATCACGATTTGGTAGATGGGATTACATGCTTGGCATTCGCCCGTAAACTGGGGTATGAGAAGACCGTTGAAGTTTTGCTGGAAGCGGAACGTACACTACAGATCAAGGGATACGTGCCTCTACATTATGCTGCTAAAGGCGGTCATGCGAAGACTGTTGAACATATTCTCGTCACAGGGGCTGACCCAAATATACGCGCAAAATCCGGCAAAACGGCCTTGATTTATGCCGTTGAAGCTGACAACGAAAGCGTTATCGACGTCCTTCTCGCTCATGGGGCCGATCCAAGTATACCTAAAAACTGTGGCGAGACGGCCTTGATGATCGCTGCTCGAGCTGGCAATGCAAGTGTTTGCAAACGTCTTGTCACTAAGGAAGGCAGCCCAACCAATTCCGCATTCGAGTTCCAGTCACAGCTGTCATTGGAAGTTGCACAGTCCCCTCTCCCTGAGATGGCTCACCCGATCGAGCGAGGCGCGATGGTCAAGCCTTTGTTTTTCAAGGCGTCTGATGCAACCGACAAGCATGCTACTCGGTTTCCATCTTATATTCTTGTGTACAATCAGGATGATGAAATTGTTGAGGTTGTTTCCCCTCACAAAACCTAATCTATGAGATTAGGTGCTTGATCCTCGAAGACGAACCATATGAAGGCTACCTGTAGGTGTGTGGGTAAGGTAGTTTCTAAGAATTGATGACTTTCCGCCATTAAGGATTGTTCTCTGGAATATTCTTTTCTGAACAAAGGTTTCGGGATGGAAAAATGAGCAAAAGAACGGAAAGGCATGAGTTCACTACCTTAAGCAAGCTTCAACTTCACCACCAACTTGTGGAGTTGAATGAGAGAATAACTTCATCGGCCATACTCAGTCAACCTGTTTACCTACTTAAGCTCGAAGCTACTGAATCCAAACCACACATTTTAGAAACGACATTGCTCCTGGCCCCTTTGTACGCAGGTACCTGATCTGCTGTCTTGAAAGCACTCACTCACCAACCTCCCGATCCTCACTCCAATGAATATACCCAATCACCGGCCAACCCCAAGTAACATGCCTAATCGTCTTCCCCCAGAAATACAACGGCACCCAGCAAACCAACACCGCCGCCGAGATCGCCGCCATCGTCCCATACGCATTCAGATAGCCCGCCTGCTGCACCCAAGTATTCGTATAAAACGACAGCAAAAACCCAAACAAACTCTTGAATCCCATGACCGCAAGTGTGATCTCCCCTGCCACAGGCCGGTAAGCATCAATGACATACACCAGCGCCACATTCGTTCCCTGAACAATAGCAAAATTCACTGTTTCCCTTCCATGTCAGCACTTCTTCTTCTTGGGTATCTCGGCAGAAAAACTTACACAACGCAATCCCCAAATTCGGCACCATCCAATGCAAGCTCTTCTCAATCCCCACCCCAAAAATCACCAGCCCCAACGGCGCGGTGATCATGGCAGGTATCATCGCCGGCAGTCTCATTTCCGGATCTCTAATCCCGTTGTTTCTCTTGGTGAAGTAATCCGCTACTTTGTCTCCCCACCATCCACCAAGCGGTATACCTGCCAGCGAACCGACCAAAGCAGAGACAAAGCAGACGCCTACCTGCCATGACTTGAATCTGTAGGTTGCTTCGTAGGCGATCTCAACATTGGATGTCATAGCAACCAGAAACCCAATGGTGGCGGCTTCAACAAGGGCAGCCCAGAGGACAGGGGGGAGGCAAATCAGACCGAGGGGACGAACGGTCAGTTTGAAGAATGACTCGTGGGTGATAGTCCCGTGGAAGATTTTGAGAGTGGAGAGGTAGGAGGCTTTCTTTGGGAGGGGGGAACTGCCAACACGGCGGGACTCAGGGTCGGAGATGGTGGCAGTTGGGTTCTTTTCTGTGGAGGAGCGTTGGTTGGGGGTGCCGGTGGAGGAGGAGTCGTCGCTGTTGGAAGGGGTCTCACGGATGTAGGCTGTTTCGGGAAAGGCGAAGAATGCGATGAGGAGGACGAGGCCGACGAGGGCGGAAGCAACTTGGAAGATTACACGCCAGTGGTGGTCGATTGTGATGACGCTGGGGATATCTTGTTAGAATGGGGATGGGAAGGTGTGATAATAGAGGGCATACCCTGAGATGATGAGACCGATGGCTACACCGACAGCGAGAAAGGAGCTGTATAAAGCCATGACTGTACCTCGCTCGTGGAGGAAGAAGATGTCGGCGATGGTGATGGGGGCGATTGTCTCGGCAGCACCGGCACCAAAGCCCATGATGACACGGCCGGCAAGAAACCCGCCATAGGAGCGCTCGAAGCAAAGCCAGACAGCAGAGGCCTGAGGTCCTTGTTAGTTCGGTTCAGCGTTCGTTCATGATTTTCTTGACTTACAAAGTAGATCAAATAGCTGAAGACATAAGTCGGCCGGCGTCCCCATTTGTTGGCAACAGGGACCCAGAAAAAGTTTCCAATACCCTGCATGAGAGCACAGGTGGTGAAAAAGTACGCAACCTTGGCTACAGCTTCGTGGAAGAGCTTGGGGTTTCTTCCTGGATGGGCACCAACGAAGAACTCCATGGTGATGTTGACCATGGCAATCGAGGGCCCTGCCGCCAGAAAGTTGCAAATCATCATGGCCAGGCAGATGACGGTCGCCATATAGTACTTGTACCATTGTGGCCTAAGAAGTGTTAGCTAGGTGTCTTCGAGGTGATGTAAAAGGCTTACCAGTTGAGGGGATCATTGGGGTCAGAAGAAGGTGTCGGGATCAGGATGATCTCGTTCGTGTCCTGATCACGAAGACGAACGTTGCCGAGGGTGACAACTCTCTTCTTGTCACCACGATCACTATGGGGGTTGGCCGCCAAAGAGGCAGCGATACGATCTCCAGCCATAATGTTTTCTTGATGAATGTTAGTAAACGTGTAGACATGATGTTATGGGAAGGGTAGTGTAGATATACATACGGTTTCCAAGGGTCAGACCTAGTAACCGGCCTGGAAAAGGGGTTGTTGTGGCGTCCTGTACAAGTATGTTTGTGTTCCCCAGTAGGATCAAGCCTCACTCTAGTCTGGATCCTTCGGCGAAGTGGTGTTGAAAGGGAGAGGGCCTGACACACCAACCTAAGAGTCGACGCGGTCAGGAGCAGCTAGTTCTGCGAGGTCCTTGATGTCATATACTCTTTGCCATCCGCGCAGAAAAAAAGGCCGAGACGGCTCTACCTCGCGGGCTCTTGGGCGACTGCTACATACACAAGACCGATACAATGAGAGTGTGTTGTAATATGCAAAAGGACAGTTGCAATCCCTGCATCTTGTATATGGCTTGGCTCATTCCTTGGCACAGGGGTGGTGGTCTACTGACACTTATCGCAGCGCTTTACCAACCTAGCACACCGTTGCCGGTGCTGGGGTTCATGGTACTGTACCTTGTGCCATCGGTTGCACTGCATGCTCCATTACACCTTGGCTGACACTCCCGGTCTGTGTTTATATATTCCAACCGCCAGAACAACAGACCCAGCACCCGCCGAGGCCCGGAGCTCCGAATAGCATTTGCTAGGCAGCCTTATCTCCAGAAGAGAAAGACTCTTATGAAGCATTCCGTAGTTCCGTAAGGGCCGATGAGTATTGTGGTTGAGAGCAAGACAATATGGGATTGAGGAGAAGACATGGCTTTTCTGCAATCACAGTCAGCATGAATGAAACCATCCGGCATCTGTACGCACAGACTCGGGTCCGATTCTGCTTTCTGCCACTCGTGGTCAAGGGATGTGATGGTATAGCGGTGTATATTCATGGCTTGTACTTTTGTAGCTTCCGTTCCGGCTCCCGGGCATGGTATAGAGCTTACGGGCCGCTCGACCATCTGCAAGGCGACTGGGATCGGCTTGCCCGGTCGAGTAGCGATGGGTATTAAGACAGACAAGACCGAGAATATTGCCTACCCACCATTGTGTTCTCCTTGAGTGGATGTTGAATGGCGATTGACAAGGGTTGGTGTTGGTTGGCTCACCACGGCACTGTGACCTGCTGAGAAACTCTTGTTTTCTTTCTTTTGAGATCTGGGCAACGGTCAGGACAAGACTTTGAAATATATTGCCTAGTGGGCCTGTCGGAGTTCCCCAACATTGGCATCATAAGCTTATCATGATGTTACTCTATTCAAAAGAGCCGCCTGAGTGTGATGTAAAGCTAGGGTGCATGTCGAGGTACTTGTCTTTTGAACACTGATGAGTGCCAACCCCACGAAACAGTTTCAAGTCCCATAGCGGTTCCAGATAATGATTCGAGTCCCGAGCTAGTGGAATCGCGGTATGGCTTTGATGCCAAAACCGTCCCAATCGTCAGAGGAATCCATTTGGGTGTGAATCCGGCGCCCGGTGTCCCAACCGCAAGAGCAATATATACTGCAGGTTTGATTGCTTGGGGATGGCAGGGCCAATTTATGGTAAAAAGGCCAGTGTCAGGTTTGCCGTTAGTCGCTTGGGTGTTTGTAGATGTTCGGAACCGAGGACATCGGGGAGCGGGTACTATTCGGGCGGAGGAGTCCCAACATGGTTTTCATAAAGAGAGGCCTTCGGGAGAGGTGGCTCGGTGGTCAGCTATGGCTGCGTTGCCAGATCTTCATTCGAGATGATCAGATGCACTGGAGAGTTGCACCAGGATTCCATGCTGGCCGTTTGCTGCGAAACAGTGGAAACTGGTTGATCTCCCCGCTGACGAACTGTCTTGGCACGCGGAGTATGGGGCCGCTTAGCAGGGGAACGCGTGGCCTGGCTAGGGTGCTGCTGGGTCTAACTGCTTTGGACAAGAGACAATCGTAGCCAAGTTGAACATCAAAGTCCCGAGTCAAGTGTTTGTCAAGTCACGATTGTGTTGGCGATATCTGCATCTCAACTCACGGACGTGAATGACTGACTGGCAGCCGGCTTGTTCCACCACAGTTCCGTCCGCACCAACGCCAAATCAGTAGTCTGGGCACTTGGCTCTGAAATCGCCAACTGGTGCGCCTCAATGATGCTCGCGCTACCATGACCCAGTGTTACACCCAATTGATGGACTTCTCACCAATTCACCATGTATCCAATCCGCCATCTCATTGACCCGCCCACCAGTAATCCTCCTCCTCGTGGCCAGCCCCAACCACCGGTAGTTGGAATTGACCCCAACGCCTCTTTATTTACTCCACCCGTCCTCCCACACTCGACATCAGCCGCCGGTCCTCTCACCGGCACGGCCCCGGCCTCGGCTCCGGCTGCATCACCCTCTCCGGCCTCATTTTCACATCCGTCCAGCTCGATCAATGCCAACACCACCTCCCAGCCGCCACAACAACAACAACAACTACAACAACAACTACAACAACAACAACAACAACAACCGCCACAGCCACAGCTCCCGACATCGCTTTACCAGTGCGCTCATTGCTTGCGTCGGTATTCTCGGCCCGAGCATCTCCAGGTGAACACTCACCGTCTCCAGGCCGTATGCTGTCTTCACATTACTGATGAAGATGATGCGTTAGAGACATATAGCAACCCATACTCTCGGGAAGCGCTTCGTCTGCGATGTGCGTCTTCAAACATGCTGAGCAAAACTCATCATAGCTCACCAGAAACCTGACTAATATGGTGAAAGATTTGCTCCAAAGCCTTCACCCGGGCAGACCTCCTCAAACGTCATCGCACCAACCATCAAGATGACAACAGCAACAAACGTAAACGCCTCAGCTCCGCGGCTCCTGGTGCCGGCCGCGTTGCACATGCTTGTCAGGCATGTGCCAAGGCTAGAGTCAAGTGTGAAGAGATGAAACCGCAAGTGCCCCTGATGATGCATCACGTCTTCACTCCTGAGCTCACACTAACTCTTATCAGATGCACAAGATGTAAGAACCGTGGCATAACGTGTGAGGTAGCATCCTCAGAGGATGCCGCGATGCACCTGCTACATCTCTCCGCAAACGCCCATGGTTTTGAGTCCCATCCACCACCGGACACGTCTCCGAGCGCTTCATCGCAATACCCTCAACCAATAAGTGCCGTTGAGCCTGAATTCCAACAGCCAACTTTCAACCCAGCACTGAAAAGCTTTGCGTCGTCTTCTCGATATCAGCAGCCCAGCCTTGCTAGCAACTCCCTCACGCCAGATGATCGGCAGTTCAAAGAAGAATCACAGTTGCCAACGCCTGAAACACTAATGGACCAGAACAACCCAGACAACCTCAATCGCCCTCAGGCTACCTATCAGAACCAGGGCCTGGCTACGGTGGAGCAAGACTTGGAAAAAGCACCATTCTCAGAATTTCTACGTGATGTTCTGTACGACCAGTCGTTTGGAAATTCAGCCAGAATGGCTGAGGCACAAGGACTGGCTGTTTTGGACTTTTGCGATGATGTCAACCTGAACTTTCGAGAATTCGACTTTGGTCTTCTCGAGAATTGGAACCCTGATGCCACCCAGCACGTACCTGACTCGACTACTCAAGTGGACAATTCGGCAGAGGTTGCGGCCATGCGATCGACACTCGTCAAGATCTGGACCGAATCACCCTGGCGTTGGGTTCCGAAAAGGACCGATACGGGCTACAACGAGCAGTCTAACCTTCCACTGCTCTCCCGGGATGTACATGGATCTAAAGCCCTCAAGCCTGATCGAGTGGTAAAGGACACTCTGCATAGCTCCAACCGGGACAAGATCTTGGCCATCGTTCTGAGCACATGCAGGGAAAATAGCATGATAAATCGCGTGGCTTCATCGTTTCCCTCGGCCGAGATGATGGATACCTGGATTCATGTCTTTTTGGCTGCACACATGTGCCAAGTCTCATCATGGATTCACTATGGCTCGTTTTCCATGAACCACCAATCTCCAGAGTGGCTCGCCATAGCCACCGCTGCTGGTGCCGTTCTTGCCCCGGTCACTACCCTAAGAAGATTCGGTTTCGCGCTACAAGAAGCCGTTCGTATCTCCATTCCAGGCAGATTTGAAGAAAACAACACCAACATCGGCCTCCTCGGCCCAGTCCAAGCTCTGATGCTAGTGCAAGACGTCGGCCTCTGGAGCGGCAACCGTCGGAAAATGGAAATCGCAGAATGTCATCTCTCGGTTCCCATGGCCATGATGCGCTACAGAGGAAAATTCACCAAAACCGCCTACCCAGACGTCATCATCCACCCCTCCGACGAGGGCAAAGTCGTCGAAGAAAAATGGAAAAAATGGTACCAACTCGAATCATGGAAACGTCTCGTCTTCCACGCTTACCTCCGAGATGCCCAGGTGTCCATGACACAATTCAACAACCCCTCCATGTCCTACGCCGAGCTCACCCTCCCTTTACCCTGCTCGAAAGATCTCTGGTTTGCACGCACAGCAGAGGAGTTCAAAATCCGGTGTCTCGAATCTCGGACCAACAGTGAGGGCAACAAACGCCCTCCATCGCTAGGCGATTTATTCAAGGACATCAACCTCCTCGCCACGAACCACCACCTCCTCGACGTGCAATACGCCATAAGTATCTACCTCCACGGATTCTGGTCCCTAATATGGGAGTACCGCCAGCTCAAATCCATCCTTTCCTCCTCCCCTTTACCCACTACTGACCCCTCGCTCTCCCCCGACATGCTCCTCACCCAACGCCACGGCGAACTCCGCCGTCAACTCTCCCTCTTCCAATCCGTCACCCGCGGCTGGCACGAGATGTTGTCTGCCCAAGAATCCATGATTCTCCACCTCCTCCAAATGAACCTCCACGTTTCACTAATCGACCTCCAACTGTTGACCGGCAAAGAAGGGGAAGACCAAGCAAGAAGGGTCTACCCCCTTTTGCAGAAATGGTGTCTCGAATCGAGCGACAGCCGCCAGGCGTTGTACCATGCCGGCCAGATCTTCCGATGGGGGAGGAATTTCCCCAAGGGACATCTAAAGGACTTTTGGGCGATTGCGGTGCACCATGCTGCGCTTTGTTTGTGGACTTATGGGATCATTATCAGGGCGTCAGGGAGGAGGAAAGGTGGGGGGATGGGGGCACCGTTGGTGATTGATGGGGAGGGGGTGGAAGGGGCGGGGTTGGAGGAGTGGTTGGTTTAAACGCGCCCCGCCAGGCACGTGGTTGTACAGGGGATAGCGAACACGGGGGTTATATCGGTGGAGGATCCGAGGGGGGTGATGGAGGTTGCGAGGGGGGTTTTGGAGGCGAATTTTGTGGAGGGGGGGACGGGGGAGGTTAAGGAGGGGGGGTTGCCGCCGGTTAGTGAGAATATTGTTGTTGTTTTGAGGCAGTTGGGGAATGCGGCTTGGGCGGTGGGGTTTGGGTAGTTGGAAGGGGGGGAGGGAGGGTGGATGCGGTTGAGGGGGCACCCTCTCTATAGATAATGAGTACAGGAAAAGTAGGTTGACCTATATTATATCATGAATTATGCCTCAATAGTAAATTAGTAGGCAGATTAGCTATCTTTGAAGGCCTAATGAATAACCTTCGAGGTATGATTCACAATAGGAGACGGGTTAAACCTACCTTTATATGCCAATTGTTTAGCGGGGAGGGTACCTAAGTGGAAGGAAGGAACGGCAGACGGCAGGTGCAGTTGTGTCGTGCCTTCTTTGTTGATCTTTTCGGATCTCAAGACAGGAAGGCGCAAGGTGATATAGACAGTTTGATACCACAATTTTGCATAGGTAGGAAGGAGCATTTCATGTTAATAGCTTCCTTGAAAGGACGCTGAAAGGTATAATAGAAACAATTATTTATTAAGGCATAGGTACATACAAGTGCAAAATCATGTATCATCACTGTAACATTCCATCTTGGTTAACGCCCACCACAGTCTCCTTCCCTCCTTCTCAGAAAATGCTCCAAAGAGGCGTTATCACTCCTCGCCCCTGCTAACCTCGCCCCCATCTCCTTCTGTAACACTTGGCCTAGAAACTGCTGGAGAAGTGACTCCAGCTCGGAAGTTTTGAATCGATGGTGGTGATTCCTACCGCGTATGGTGCGCAGTCTGGCTTTATTGATGGCGTCGATCTGCTTTCGCCGTTCTTGTTCGGATGGAGGGGGTACTCCGGCAGGTCTATCAGATGGGTCTATCCCGATGATCACAGTCTGCTTCCCGTCGATTGCTATTGTCCTTCGGTGATCGGGCACAAAGGGTGTGTCCTCGTCATCTGTGTCGTCGTCCACGGCATCCTTTCCATGCTCGGGCACATCCTCCTCATCCATCCGACAGTCAGGAACAAACGGCACATCCTCCTCATCCGTCTCGTCCTCTTCGTCCACTTTTCTTTGTGACAGGTGCACCCGCTCCTCCCACCACTCCTTCCATCCTTCTTCATCAATGCCCGCTTGATCTTGGGGGCCGTGTAGCGGGATGATCCTCTCCCATTGAAACAGCAACTCCTTCAGCCTGTCAATTCTCTCCGCTACCTGTTCTGCGGCAGATTGCCCCTCATCTGGCGGTACCCAGCCACAGCCATTCTTGAGGGTGAAGAAGTCGTCTAGATCTCGGAGGAGGGTGCAGGATCTGTTGTGGGGGAAGTAGAGGTTGAGTTCGAGGGCTGCGGTCCTCAGGTTGGAGGGGCTGAGGAGAGTTGAGGGTAGGGAGAGGGAGAAAGCCAGCGGGAGTGAGAGGAGGGAGTTGTAAGTTTGGTGGTGGAGGTGGGTGTGAAGTTGGGGTTTGGATTTTGGTCTGGGGAGGATTGTTGGCGGTGGCGGCGGCGGCGGTGGTGGTGTGGATGATGGCAAGGGAGAGTGTAATAATGGAGAGGGTGGTAAGGGAGGGTAAATTGTGAGCTTTGGTAGGGGAGGGTGGATTATCATGTTTGGTTGCTGTTACGGACGAGTACTGGAAATAAAAATAACAAAGGTCAGCTCTGTATGAGGTGACTAGGTAAGGAGGCAGCTCAGCCTTATAAGAACAGCAAGGGGCTTCAAGAGCCTCACTCGAGAAACACAGAGGCAGAGGTAAACGAGCGGACGATCTCAAACCGATCAGGCAAACAACGCCCGCGAAAGAGATACAGATTGGGGAATAAGATGGACATTGTTGATCGCTATTTGCTGAACACGAAGAAAAGCAGCTCGTGACTCGAGCCTCCAGACCCGTAAGGCTGATCTGGAATGGGGACGCAATCTTTAAAGTTCTCACCTGAAACACAGAACGAACGGTGAACAGCTGGCGGTATATTGTCAGCCAACAACGTCGGCAGATGCATTGCTGGCTATCATTGCCACTCGGAGCGGTGTTATACGGCGACGTATCAAAGCCGTTCCCGGCGGTGTGGTTGACGGATGCCTCACTGAGGCAAGCTGGGGTGGGGAGCTGCCTCGTTTCAGATGCTGAGTTACACGAACCGTCAAAGAGGCATTGGAATTATCGAGAGGGGTTAAGTATTTTCGTGAGGCTTGAAGGTGTTGGTGATATCATCTGCGGGGCATACGGATACAAATCCCGCCAGGATGTCAAGCTCGTCACTCGAACCCCAAGCCTTGGGCAAGGTCCAGACTGGTTGTTGAATCGCACCTCTTGGCAGATTCCAGTTCGACATGAGTGCCAAGTCGTCCCAACCCTCTTCAGGATGAAGCTGTCATCCGAAACGTCAATCCCTGCTTACAATGTGGGGCTGGTGCTCATCCTGAAACGAAACGGGTTGCGGGGCATCCACAATAGACTTGATAATAAGTAGCATGAAGTTTGTCTTTCTCTGACAAACTGCAACCCGTGAGTCAACTGGTGATAAAAAGGTGGACTGAAGTGGATGAGATACCATAATATCGATGTCCTTTATGTAAAAATAAGACCGCACAAACCGAGGGGGAAGCCATATATTTGATATGTAGACGTAAAATGCGGGGTCATCCTTCCTGGCTTAGACACTTACACATTTGCCGTGTCAACCAGGAAGCAAGTAAACAAAACACCGCGACACGCATGAACAACAATAACCCATTGAAATCTTGATGACCCCTGACAATTTCCTAAACCAGACTTGACTGGCAACGCGTCGAACTTCACGCGCGGTGCGGCTTGTGGATGGGATGGGTAGGTAAGGTGGGGAGGAGGCACCAAAGCTTATGGCAATACGGACTACGGAGTGTATATAGCCTGGAGTTACACAACCCACCACACCATGAACTGTTTAAATAGGCATTTTCAATTGGCTACCTAGCATCTTTGACCCCCCTCCCCGAGCTTTTGGCATCTTCCATCTGTTGTCGACGAGGTGCCTGCCAAGACATTGAAGTGCCCCTTCCCTGTGCATTCACCCTGTACTTTCCTGCATCCTGGAATCCTGGCCTTCCCACGTTCGGGACCCGCTCCCTTTATTTTCGACTCTTTCGGTCTCTGTTGGCTTCTTCTCTCCCAAACACCTCATCCTCTTTGCATCCACATTTCTTTCCAATCGACGCGTCCCAATCAGCAAATATGGCGCTTCAGGCTGCGTACAAGCAGTTTCTAGCTGCACCAACCCCGACTGTGCTCGCGCAAGACGCGTCTCTGCACTACATTACCTCGACGACGAGCTTCAACGGTCCCGATAGCATTATCAAGCACTTTTCGACCTTCCGCAACCAGAGCAAGAAGAAGAAGGAAGACGTGCTTTTCGTTATCGAGGGGCAGAACGCCGTGGTCCTGGAGGCTGAGCTTGTCATCGAATTTATTTCCAGCGGCGGCCCGTATCTGCCTGGATTGGACGACAACTTCCTTGCCGACCGGACTGTGTCTTTTGCCGTTACCCACATCGTCTTGTTCGATGCCGACGGCAAGATTCTCCAGATCCGCCAGAACTGGGACCAAGGGTCGCTGCTGAAGCAACTCGACGTTATTGGCAAGTCAGGTCGCAACTGGCCCATTCGCGATGGCAAGGACCAGGTCAGCTTGATTGCGAAATGCGTCAAGGGAGGCGGAGCTCCTGGGTTTACTACTGATCTTCCCATGCATAACCGCACCAAGTCGACCAACCCTCTCCGCGATCCTCACGCCTCCTTGGCTTTGTTCGCCCCGCGCGAGGAGCAGGAAGAGGTTACCGTCGTCTCTCCCTATGCTGGCCGCAGACCTACCCAGCGTTCCTTTACCGAAATTCTGGGCGACGAGCCTGAGGAGCCCGCTTCCCCCAGCAACGGCCGCGAGCGTTCTGCGTCTCCAAGCAAGGCCAAGGCCGGGGTTAGCAAGAACTTCCAAGCTGTCCGCCTTTTTGACCGCGACGATGATACCGCCGAGGCCGACACGCCCGAGAACGGCAGATCGCCCGAACGTGTCATCCGCCCGAACCCAAAGAAGTACCAACACTTCGACTTTGATGACGGCCACTCTCAGGAGGCCCCGAAGCCCGCTCCTGCTCCCGCAAAGAGCTCCAAGCATGGTGCTTCGTGGGGCTTTGAGGACTTCGTAACGCCACAAAAGCCGACAGCATCCCGCACCTTGCACAAGGCCCGGGAAGCTCGCAATTGGTCTACTGAAGATGCCATTACTGAGGAGCAACCTGCCCCCAAGGCCCAGCAGGCCAAGGGCCGCATTACTGCCGAGGCTCACTTTGACTTTGTCGACGACGGTGAGACGCCAGCTGGCGGTCGGTTCCGCGGCCCACCCCGTGGTAGGGGTCAGAATGAAGGACAGCACCTCTACGAAATGAACCTGTACAAGGAGGACGGCAGTGCGCCGACCCCAGGTCCTGCTCCTCTCGGCAATATTACAAACCAAGCCGGACGCCACAAGTCATTCGATCCTCACTTTGAGATGACGGACGAGTCTCCTCGGGATAGCAACGACGGCAAAGACAAGGCTGAGAAGCTCGGTGATGACAGGAAGAAGGCAGTGCGCATGATGGAGAGCAACTGGGAGACCTATGATGTTTCGCCCGCTGCCCTGAAGGAGAACAACAACCCCAATGGCAAGACGAGAGGAATTGTCACAGCCGGTGATGGCATGGGCAATAAGAAGGGCGGTTGGGGCTTGGCCGAGAAGAAAGAGCGCGGCATCAACACTGCTGGCGACGGGATGGGTGGCAGAAAAGGTGCTGGCCGCGGGTGGGCGCTGGGTGACGAGAGCGACGAGGACGCGCCAACTCAGCCCCAGAAAAAGGGCGGCCGTGGGCCTCCTGCCAAGGCGGAGAGCTTCTGGGACTTTTAAGAACGGATTTCGCATTTTTTTGATCATGATCAGTCCACTTTCATGTCAAGAAAGACAGCTTGTACATCTACTGGGAGGTCCTTTTTACAGAGCATGCTCTGTTTCTTTTTTCTGTGTGAGGCTCGTCGATGTTTCCTGGGCGTTTTTGCCAGTTGACGGAGTATCAAGAGCGTGGAGGGAAGGGTTATAAAAATGGAACCCTGGGATTTTTATGTTATGATTGATTGTTGTTATGCTTTAACTGGCCTGGATGAGGATAGGAAGAAGGAACAGGGATATGTTTGTTAGGTTACCAGGTAGTGTAAACTGATTTCAACCGAAGAGAGACTTTTACTTGACTTGCCGGTGATGTTTTCTCTCAGGGCTAATGGCGTGCTGTTGCGAACTTGTTCAGATCAGTCTATAGACTATCTGCCACAACTAAGGAGAGGTTTCAGAAATTTGGGTTTGAGCAATTCGAAGTGTCTTTGAATGCTATATATTAAAAATGATCCAGCCACCCTCCTGAAAAGAGAACAACCCGCCATGTGTAAAATAACGTCAAGCTTTTATACGCGAGGCGCGAGCATCATATATCTCATTCCCCCTCGCGCTCGCTGCCCTTTGCCCTTTCCTTTCCACATCAACACAAATACCTATAAACCCTCTTCCACCTCGGCATCCCTCTCAACTCCCTCTCCCTCTCCCACTCCAACTCCTGCTTCGTCGACAACGAAAAAACAGGCAAACCCCTTGCCCTCGCACCACCACCACCACCAGCAGAATGACTGTTCCAGTACACCACCCCTGCCTTCCTCCTCCCCGTATCAAGATCGATATCCTCCAGCCTCACCACCTTGGTCCTAAACCAGATCTTGTATCCCGCCCAGAAGAGGACAATGATCGGCACGCAACTGCATTGCAAAAAAAAGTTGTGCACCACGTCGCCCTGGTTGTTGATCGTCACCCCGCTGCCGTTTCCCGTCGGGACAGTCGGGACGACGCGGCGGGCTCCTTCGGGTGCGGTGGAAAACTCGTCGACCGCGTCTGGGTCGGGGAGAGTAGGGGGGATGGGCCAGGCGGCCGTCCAGAACTGGGCGATGAGCACCAATATGTTGAGGAACAGTCCGATCCAGGAGCCAGTTACACCTGCCTGGGAGAGGTAGGAGAGTTCGTCGAGTGAGCGCCCCTGGACGGCCCAGGCTTTCCGGAAGCGGATGTGCGCCAGGCAGATGGAGGCCCATGTGAAGATTGAGGAGAGGCCGGTGGCGGCCAGGAGCCAGTTGAGCACCTCGGAGGGTTGGTCCAGGTCGGCTAGGTACCCCAGTAATCCAAAGGCGCTGACGATGAGGATTGATATAAGGGGACGCCCGTGGCGGTCGACGTACCCGAATATTTTGGGAGCTTGTCCCTGATCTGCGAGAGCGGCCAACGTCCGGGAGGAGCCGAACACGGCCGAGTTGCCCACGGATACCACCGCCACGAGGATCACCGCGTTCATGATACCAGGGAGGATGGCGATGCCAGCTGATTCGATCGCGATGACAAAAGGGGAGGAGGACGCATCGGCAAAAGATTCCGCTCCCAAGAGATCGGGGTGGTTGTAGGGAACCAAAAGTCCCACAAGCGCGAGAGAGATGAGATAAAACAGTGTGATCCGCCAAAAGACCTGCTTGATAGCCGTGGGGAGCGATTTCCTCGGGTTGATCGCTTCTGCAGCCGCCAAACCAACCAACTCGATCCCCGTAAAGGCAAACGCCGCCGCGACGAAGATGGTGCAGAACCCCTTGAACCCATTGTTGAACGCGCCGGGATCTTTCCAATACCTCCCTCCTATGTAGCCCTCGTCGGGGAACCCGCCAATGTTGATGACACATCCCAAGAGGATAAACCCTATAATTGCGATGACTTTCAGGATGGAGAAACAGAACTCTGCTTCGCCGTACCCTCTGACGCCGACGAGGTTTATCACCACGATGGCGACGAGGAAGACTGTGACAAAGACGGATCGGTGGATGTCCTCCCTCCAGTAGTTGACCGTCATGCTTCCCGCAATGATCTCAAGCGGCAGACAAACCAGCCACTGGAGGGCGTAATTCCACCCCATCGAGAATCCCAGGGCCGGATCGAGGAAGCGGGTCGAGTAAGCCGAGAAACTGCCAGCGACGGGGAAGGCGACGGCGAGCTCGCCGAGCGCTTGCATGGTGCAGTAGAGCATGCCACCGATGAAGGCATATGCCAACAGCATCGAGGCCGGGCCGCCAGCAGTGAGCGTCGAGCCCGACACGACAAAGAGGCCGGTTCCTGTTGCCCATCACACATTAGCCCCTATTCTATTTTTAAACAACAACAAAAGAGAAACCATACCAACCGTCCCCCCCAAAGCAATCATCTGCAAATGCCTCCCCTTCAGCTCCCTCGAAAGCTGCGTATTCGCCGTGTTGACGTTAGCAGCGTGCAAATCAAAGTAATGCCCTCCGATATGCCTCTCCTTTTCCTCTCTACTACTACCACCACCACCACTATTACCACCTCCTCGCGAGCTACCCCCTGCTATCGTCGACGACCGTTTACTGCTTCCCACGCCGTGAACCACCGTTGCGGGTGTGATCCTCCTTCCGGGATCCCTCCGAAAGGAGTTAACCCAGCTCTGTACATAGTGCGAAGGTGTGTGCGAGTGGGCGGTGGTGCTGTTGCTGTCGTCGTCGTCTTCGGGGTAGCTAGAGAGGAAGTCACGGCGGAGGAGGCTGCTGCGTTGGCCACCGCTTGTGTTGAGCGTTGTGGCGGTGGAGGGGTGTGGAGTGTTTGGTTTTGGCATTTCTTAGGTATATAAGGATATTAAAAGCCAACAAAAGAGATTTATGGTTGATTATGGAGAGACATGCTACGTCGAAAGGGGTGCCCAAGATAGAGTTGCGATGATGGCGTATGGGTCGCACATCGAGGTCCAAGAGGGAGGGGTGGGTGTACGATGGGAGCTTCTGACAAAGTCTATTGGTGTTTGATGTTCAGGAAGAATATGAACAGCAGATGATCAACTCGATAGGTAGTGTGACGGTGCCGTGAGCTGTCAAAGCTTTGTGGCTATCTGCCGCGGAAGAATATTCCTCGTGATAAACTCTCGTCTCGCTCTCCCAGGGAGAAATCTCGGGAATCCATATACAATCTCGGGAATCCATTTCTGCTCGAAAGAGTGAGAAGCCTTGAGGCGTTCCCCGTCTGTCAAGTTTCGCAGCATGCACACGCATTGAACCCTTCACCGTAATTGGCAACAAGGAGAAGCCCTGGCAGCAACAAGAATCCCTCGTGGGGTGCGAAAAAATGTCCATGTATGTTTCGGAGAGAGAAGAAAACCCCCAGATTCGCTGAGGAGGCATAACAACAGGCCGGTAGTTCAACCCTCAAAAGAACATGTGTGGATGATTTTCAGCAGGGATCCTACTAGCTACCCGCTGCAGCCGCTTTGGCGCCCGCTGTGGATTCTATGGAGAATTCTCCACCGATTCCCATCTCCATCGATTTCCATCTCCATCGGAGTTCAAGTGGGTTCTTCGCCATCCATCTCCTTAATGCCCTATCGCCCGTGCTGCCTCGTGCTTGTCCGTGCCACCCCGTGGAGCTTTCCCTAGCCACCTCATGACATAGCTTCCGCCGCATGAGATCTTCAACCATTGATCTCTATCTGTGCCATCGAGAGGAATCAAAAACCTGGGAGAAACAAGCCGCTTCAACTTCATACAACATAACGTATCACCGTATCTGTACAGTGGTAAGTGGATATATATAGGACCATCACCTCCGCTATCCTGCCACGCCTATCATGATCCAAAGAAGAAGAGAAACAGGTCGCCATCGGTATCATTCACAGACTATTCCACAATCTTCCCTGCCGCATCCCGAGGCTTCCTCTTCCACCCCGTGGAAAACAACGGCCCCATATCGAATCTTGGGAAAGGATGCGCCTCCGTATTGAAAACAATCTTGTCGAGCGGTAGTAGGTCATTCGGCGAGAACAGCAAGTAAAAGTACTTGAGCGTCTCCGCCAGCCAGAAACTCTCCATATTGTCCCTCGTCCGAGGAGGGATGATGTTGGCATTGGACAAGCTAGTGAACCCGCCGCCATCCTCGACCGCTGTGTAGTTCATGAAGCTCTTGAACATCTCCCAGCCCCAATCACGATACTTTTCCTCGCCGGTGATTCGCCACATGTAGAACAGACTCTCGACCGTCTCTGGGCGCTGCAGGTTATGACTGTCTTGCGGCTTCACGTCAAAATCCTTGCGCCACTCGGCCTCCGGATCGGGGTCGAATTCGGCGGGCGCCTGGTGGGGAGCCGATGCCGGAAGTGGTTCCTTGGGCAGGTTGAAGTAAGTAATCTCAGCGGCAAGGCCGGTCGCCATGTACTTGTACATGCCCCAGCACGTGTGCATAAGTTCCCGTGCGAGCTGCATATCGGCCTCATTCTTGTCGGTCCATGTGGGCAAGCCCCTGGCCTCCTTTTCGGTCAGCCCACCCGTGGCCGCCAGAGCAATTGTTCCGGGCATAAAGCAGACGAGGTGGTCCATCTTGGGTGAAAGTTCATTGCTCAACCCGCTTGGGCGCTCGCCAATGATGGTAAACTGCGACGGCTCCGTGTAAGTGATCAGGTGTTTCCGGACGCCCTGCAGCGCCTCATCCCACATCTCCTGATAAATTGGCTCCTTCTTGTTGGTCTGCAAATACTGCTTGATGAGATATTCGTAGTACGAGTCGCCACGACTGCCCAATCTGATGTTCTCGCCATGAAATTTGCCCGTTGTAGCAAAGATGAAAATGGGCACCAATCCATCCTGGGCGCCATTGTCGTCCACCAGCTGGATGACCTTCTCCGCCTTGTCCCAGAAATCCTTCTCGCCCGTTAGTTTCGCGAGATACTTGAACTCGAGCTGCAGAGTCGTTGTCTCGGCCGTGGATGAAGCACCCGAGTCAGCATGTGAAATAATGCCCTTAAACTCTTTCAAGTTGACACTGGCGTATGGAATCCCAGAAGGCGAGTCAAATGCAGCCATCAGTCTGTCAGCCAAGTCCTTCGCCTTCTCCAAGTACAAATCCTCCCCAGGCTTCCCAGGGTCGTCATCTGAAATGGGCGCCAACTGTGGAAACGTGGTCGAGAGGTAATGCGCCGAAAGTAACCCTCCCAACATGCGAATCGTCGTCTCAAACGTGTTCACATACTCATCCTGCTCCCACGTCAAATCCTTCGCCAACCACTCCCTTGCATGCGATAACCGGCTGGTCAAGTTCATCAACATGAGCGTATCCAACGAATCAATGATAATCCACCCCAACCCCTTCGGCACCATCTGCTTCCCCGTCTTGGACTCCGGATGAAACTCGTCCATGCCCCAAGCATACCTCTCATACGCATCCCAACTCAACTCCATAGCCTCCACCACCCTCTCCCTCCTCTTCAACCAATTCGCCCTACTCCTCCCCGTATCCTGTCCCCACCACCCCCATCCGCTCACAACCGCACCCTCCTGCTCCCCAGAAAACACACCCGACCACCAAACTAACCCAGCCACAACAAGCAACAACAACCCCAACGTCCTCTTCCTCCTAGGTCTGAATCCCCCTCCTCCCCCACCATAGCCGCCCCGTCCTGGGGGGTACATATACGGCTTATCTTTATACATCGGCAACGCAGCACGATTGCCCCCCGAAATGATATCTTGCACCCCGCTCAAAATATTCCCCGGCTTGCTATTCTTGTTTGTAGCCGCGGCCCATAAGCGGTCTTCGTACTGGCGTTGTGGGTTGCTAAAGGAAGGGACATTTTTTGGTATCGAGAAGGAAGACATATCCTCTTCTTGATCTCCAACGCCCGGTTCGGAGGAGAATCGTATCTCGGTTGTGTTCGTGGGTGTGTTCGTTGTCGGCAAAAGGGAGGTACTAGCTTCCAGCACCTCGCTCGCCTTGTCGCGAAGGCGCTCGGTCTCGGCGGCGGCGGTTCGGATTACGTTTTGGAGGGTGGTGGTGATGTTACTGGTGTCGTGGGTGGTGGTGTTTCTCTTTGGTCTCCAGTTGGCAGTGGGATCCCGATTCAGACCGCGGATGTTAAATGGGTCTCGAACGTTCATAGGCAAATGATCAATTCGTTGTGTAAGTAATAAGCGCGGTAGTGGTGGTGGTGGTGGCGGTTGCTATAAATGGGTGCCGTTGGTTTGAGATGTGGTGGTGTGTGAGCTCAGACTTCTTTTAGGAATAAAGTAGGTAGGAAAGAAAGAGACAAAACTGCATGTACACAGGGAGAGAGCAATATGTACAAGAGCAAGACAAGAATCCACACCAAAAAGACACTCGCACACCCTTCGTCCCGTCCGTTCTTTTTGGCCAGCAATGTGGCTCTTTCCCCGGGTGGCAGGTCAGACGGTGGACAGGAATGCTGCTGACCGGAAGACAGGAACACTTGGAGCTTTCTTGGGATTATATGCAGTCAAAAAGATGCCATTAAAGTCAATTGGCTGGAGCTGACAACGGCGGGCATATCTTGGTTGCATGCGACTGTTGTGTGGGGTTCTAACAACAGATCGTGGCCGGTCGATCAGTGCGCCGAGTCTTGGCGTCTGAAAAGGACAGCTATGTTTGATGCCGGCACCCGATATCGTCACTTCTCGTGGATGATTAAGGTTTGTGATACTGGTGGTTGCTTGCTGTTCAAGCTCTTCTTTTTATATGTTTTAATGTTCTCTAATTTCATAAACGGTAGCTTTGATGAGCTCTCGTCTCCAGGGGATCATTACTAATGCCAAGAAATTGTTTGTCAGACCCATCCTTCACCAAATGGCAAACGGCAAACGGCAAATGGACTTGGTAAGGACGGTAGCAAAGTGTTTAAAACCCAAGCATTGGGATTTCTTGGGTACGCGTAAGAATCCATGAAGCACTTGAGCGTTGAGGTGAGGTGAGGCTCGAGGGAAGATGTAAGTGAAAGAAGGCTTATCTAATCGTCATGCTCTTGCTCAGTTATCGAGGCTACCGTTTGACCCAATTAGGTTTAAGTAGTTGGGCATGGTTTGCTCTTTCCACTCGCATCAACTCGATAAACGGAGCCTTTGAAGAAACCCAAACAGAGTCACCATGAGAAAATCATCCGAGTTCCAGAACTACCCCTTCCTGACAGGCGAAGAGTTCGCCGAAGCGTGCCACCACCTGGATAGGAGATACTGCCAAGCTACCTTGGGTCCCGTACGGAGAAAATGGAAACTCAGAACATGTAACGTACTCAACACAGCTTTCGGCCTAGGACCAGAATACAACACATATGTCCAAATAGTTCGACCACTGGAAGGAGAGCTAGACGATGGGGACCTATCAAACATATTTGACAGTCTTTCATTTCAAAGCAGCAACCCTACCGCAACCGACGACATGGTGGACAACAAGATGGTGGAGGCCGAGGATGCTGATGAGGTACGTTCCACAGCTTTGGAACCGTGCTTTGTACTCACACTCTCCCAGGCTGTGTTCCACAAGAAGCCAAAGTCAACGGCAAGTGCTGGGCAGGTCGTGTATGAAATACATCTCCACCCAACATATCAAGCGCCCTGTTTGTGGTTCAGTCTACACAACCTCCCCGTTGATGAGCAAGCTTTCAACATCGATACTGTCTTTCGACGTCTCGTACCAGACCAGTACAAAGATGGACTCCGCAGTGCTGGGGAAATTGGTGGCATCTCGGCCGACGTATGTCTTTTTTTCATTATGCTGTCAAGAATATGGTTAACTAGGCGATTCTGCGTCTGATCGAAAGGTCCTAGACTAACACAAACCATTCTGCAGCATCACCCAGTTACAGGGCTCCCCAGTTTTTTTATACATCCTTGTCTTCTTGGTGAAGCAATGTCAACATTTGACTGCTCCAAGGAGGACTATCTCATGGTATGGTTGGGCCTTGTGGGGGGTTGTGTCGGCCTTTGGGTTCCGTCAGAGATGGCAATCGAATCGCAGTAGGCTGAGCCCAAGGAGCTGTGCCCCAACATATCCTCGCTGTATTATGCCAACCTGGCGGGTATCATTCATCGTCGCTATCATCCTCCAGTTCCATCTCTGCATCCGAGTCGCTCTCTTCTTCTTTCTTCTCCTCTTCCCTTGGCCGTTTTGTCCCGCGCGTTTCAGCAGTGGCGTCAGGCATGGCATGATCAGACGCGGATGGCTTGGGGGGAAGACCGCGGGAGGTCACATTTGCAGACGCCCCTGGTAGAGGAGCGTTGAAGATGCTCTGTTGGAGGTCGGTAACCTCAACCTGGGCTGCCGTCGAAGCTGCGGGTGGTTTGAAAGTACCGTCGAGCTTGGCGATGATGTTGGACTTGGACTTTGCATAGGAGATTTTCTGTTTCCAGTTAGTATATACCCAAAAATGAAAGACAAGAACTACCTACCAGCTCCCGTCCAAAAAACTCGAACCCATTCAACGACCGCATGGCCTGCGTGGCCGTCTGAATATCTTTGTACACGATGTGAGCCTGGCCGCGCATCTTCATTGTCTTGAGCGCCACCACATCTAATACGGCGCCATATGTCGAGAATAGCATGTAGAGTGCTGTCCTAAGGTCCTCCTTCTGAATCTTGTTGGATGGGAGGTTCGTGACATAGAGGGTTTGGTTTGGCGGCACTGAAGCGACCTTGGCTGGGAGGCCAGGAGGGAGTGCGCGTGTAGCCATCGTCGGTTTTCAGTATTTGTAGCTTCTTGTGCTTCGGGAAACAACACAAGAATCGGGGTTGTCTGAATTGGCGCAAACAATTCGCGATTTGTGGACGGAGGCACTGACGGTGTTGTTGATATTTAAGTCGATGGATGCATTAAAGGTGACCTGAAATTTGGAGGCGCCAAACACCAAACACCAGAATCCTACGCGCCACCCCGAGGCGTGTGGCTAGCCATTGGTCAGGGCGCCTCATCCCACCAGCCCCACCAGTTACGCAACAGCTTCCCCTGACCAAGGTCAACTCCACCATCATTCAACCAGCAACTCCAGTCAGTACTAGGTATCATCTTCGTTAACTCTAGCGGTAGTAGAGAGCTACTCCTACCGTACAAACATCAACACCATGTCGGCCCCCGAAGTCCACCACCTTTTCCACAATCCCATTGCGGATCACTCGTTCTCAGCTGACCGCCAAACGCTGGCCATTGCGCGCGACACCACTGTCGAGCTCTACGGAAGGGTCGGGAATAGCTTCAAACTCAAGGATGAGCTCAAGGGCCACGACAAGACTGTGACCAGCATTGATATTGCCCCCAACTCAGGACGCATTGTTACCTGCTCTCAGGGCAAGTTACTTGACCATCTCCGACAACAACTCCAACTGACCTCTCACGCACAGATCGCAATGCCCTCGTGTGGGAACCTACCCCCCAAGGCTATAAGCCGACCCTCGTCCTCCTGCGCATCAACCGAGCTGCCACCTTTGTACGCTGGTCGCCGAACGAGACCAAGTTTGCGGTTGGATCTGGTGACAGACTGATCGCGATCTGCTATTTCGAGGAGGAAAATGACTGGTGGGTCTCGAAGCACTTGAAGAAGCCGATTCGCAGTACCATCACCACTGTCGCATGGCATCCCAACTCGGTCCTTCTTGCCGCTGGCTCTACCGATGCCCATGCGCGCGTCTTGTCCAGCTTCATCAAGGGCGTCGACGCCAGGCCAGAGCCCACCGCCTGGGGTGAGAGATTGCCCTTCAACACCATCTGTGGCGAGTACTTGAACAACTCGGCTGGTTGGATTCACTCTGTAGCTTTCTCCCCCAGCGGAGATGCTCTTGCCTTTGCCGCGCATGACAGCAGCATCACTGTTGTGTATCCAAACGCCCCTGAGCAGCCGCCCAGGGCTGTTGTCACCATCAACACCCAGCTGCTCCCCTTTATGAGCCTCATCTGGAATGGAGAGGCTGAGATCATTGCCGCCGGATATGACTGCGAGGCTTTCCGGTTCAAGGGTGGTCTTAATGGCTGGCAGCTGAGCGGAACGATTGAGGCCAAGAGCCGCCCTGGTCTTGGTGATGCCCGGGAAGAGTCCGCGCTCAACATGTTCAAGCAGATGGATCTGAAGGGCAAGGTCAAAGATGACACCCAGCTTAAGACAGTCCATCAAAACACCGTCACAATGCTGCGTCCCTACGAAACTTCTGGTGATGCCGTTGCTAAGTTTAGTTGTAAGTCTTGTAAGGATTCTGTCAGCTATCACTTTTACTAACAACGATATACAGCAAGCGGCGTGGACGGGCGCCTTGTTATTTGGAACGTTTAAATGATAGATGATCTAGAAAGATGCACCAATCGGATCACGGTGCTGTTTGCCGTTTGAGACACACTTGACCTCGTCTTTACTACGGTAGCCTGCGTGAACTGGTGGAAGCGCGCATGAACCCGATTGGTAGCTCAAAGGTACTTGTTGAAGCCTTCAAGGTCCCTTGTCTGTAGAATCTTAGTTGTTATAAGAATAAGAGCGTTGGATTTCTTCAAGAGTGCTTTTGGACCATCTTCATCCTGCTTTTCCTCTCTTTCCTCTATCCGCCCAGCGACATGTCCAAGATGAGCGCCAGCAAACCCCAAACGCCGTCGCCGAGCAGCTTCATCTACACTTCTAGCTCCAGCGCGGTATCAGACTGCATCACCGTGGCAGCAGACGATGACAGAATACAGGCACGCTCCTCTGAGCCACAGGCAGTCACTGGCCTAGTCATATTCAATACAATTCACTGGAGACCCAACCCTCGTTCGCTCAGCCCTCCAGGCGCGCGGGTCATCGAACTACCAGATTCTGACTCTGGTGAACAAGACCATGAGCATACCAAACTGCTTCGCGACTACAAAGCCGGATCTGTCAGCCCGCTGAGTCTTCCGCCTCAGCCACAGCTCCAACAACACACCCCTGTCCGAACTGTGGACACCGACTACCCTTCTCAGTTGATGAGCTATGATGTCGCCGCCATGGAAGACACCGACGACGAGGACCACTACCCCGAACGATTTGCTCTGTCTCCCAATCTGCCTCCCCAGTGCCCTACTTCTGATAATGGCTCCTCTCCAAAGTCATCAGCCAGCAGCACAACAAGGTCTTTTTGCACATGCCGCTCCTCTCCAACCTCAGAAGCAGACCAATCTGGCCTCATCCTGGAGATTCAATATATTTGTGTTTTGGCAACCCAAAAGTTCATCAGGGGACACGTCTTTGACCAGCGCAGGCAGCGCCGTCGCCGTGAGAGAGCACTGGTGATGAAGAGACTGAGAGAAAGGGGGAAGGCAAGATCAGAAACCAGAGAAAGAGAAAGCACAAGGAACAGCCACGAGAACAAAGTCAGGAAGATGTCTCCTGTGAGGCGGGTTGCACCTCCACGTGCTGTCTCGCCTATTAGCCCTCGTGTTGTCAGAACAGCAAAGGCAATGGTCTACAGTTCCACCGATAGCGATACCGAAAGGGAAAGTCCCAGCGGTAACACCTCCCAAACCTTCACCTCGCCGAAAATCCCAACCTCCACGAGCAAACTCACCTCCCGCAGACCAACCAGTCCCTTTTCCTACACGTGGATGTCCTCCCAACTGAATCCCAACCCCACCACCACCCACCTCCTCACCCCCAACGCCGCCGCCGAAGATGACCTCGACACAACCATGTCCGACCCCCCTTCCTCCCCAACATCATCCTCCACCTCAGCCGACACAGACTACCGCACAATCCTCACCTCCCACCGTCTCCCTTTCGGTTCCTCCAACAACAAGCAAAAACTCCCTTCCCAACCCATCGACAACAAAACCCAACTAAACAAAAACATATCCAAAATCGGCTCCATCATCTGGCACCGCTCCCTTTCCCACCCCCTAGAAAAGAAAAGAGAAACCCTCCAAGAAATGGCCTACCTCCTCGACCTAGGCGCCGCAGTCCTCACGTCCGACCAGCCAGCAAACCCCCCCACACATAGCCTCGCAGTCCAAATCACCGACGCGGGGATTCTGCTCTGTGAAATCCTCAAAGACTGGGACGCGGTGGAGAGGATAGAGGAGTTGGAGGGGGTTTGGTTGGATGCTTTGAGTAGGGGCAGTAGTAGTGCTATTGAGGAGTGCAGCTGTAGTACGTGATCACACAAGGTGTGCGAGGGGTGGTGGTTTGAGGGGGGAATTGCGCTGAGATTTTCTTCATATGTTTGGGTATGGATGGCTGGGTATTTAGATTGGGAATTTGTGAGATTTTCGTTATCATGCGCGCATTGTATCGTTGGCCTGGGGTTGTACCTAAAAATCAACTTTTGTGCATTCTCAACCATTTCTCCTTCTCCAACAACCCAGTTTTGAAACCGCCAAAGGATGGAAATATGATGTGTTGCGAATATTGAATGGTCCGTGCCCACCCCTGATTTGGAAGGTTTGAAAAGATGTAAGTGACCCTCAGGTAAGTCAATGAACAAGTAAATCACTTCCACCCAACATCAACACGTCAGCCAGGTCATAACCAACAAATTCATACCAAACTAATGATATATAACGGCAGTTAGAAAAACCAATGTCCCGAGCAAAGGAAACGACCAAATAATCCCGCTCTCTCTCCCACCCTTGAAAGAGAAAACCATAAACTAAACACAACGCCCAATCCCAACAAAATAAGGAATCATAACATCATCTCCCCAAACCAGCCTTCTTCTCAAAAAAAGGATAAATATATACACCACCACCGCCACCACCACCGCAACGCCCCCCAAAAAACGAATGTAAACCACCCCTTTTCTTCCACTCCCCTCCTCTCCTTCTCACCTCTTCTTACTCTCGTCAATATCCTCCCCAATCTCCTCCGGTCTCCTCGGATCCACATACGCCGACAACCTTTGATCTCCCCACCTAGCCCCAATGCTGACCCAAACATGCTTCGCCGGAATCTGCACATTCTTCGTCTCCCTCATCCCCGTCCACCTCAACCTCCTCTCCCGCGTCATATCGCTGTTCCCAATCCCCCCGTTCCCGCTCCACTCCCGCACAATATCCCTGATAAACTCAATCTTCTGCCTAAACATGTTTGCCGCCGGAATCCCCTGCATCTCCGGGCTAATCTCCGGCCGTCTCCTCGACGAGCTGCTAGTGCTCCTGGTTCCAGCCCTCGGCGCCGGCTGCTTGGGCACCGTCGAAAAGTTCAAGAGAGTCTGCACAGGATACGACAACACCGACCGGTCATCCAGCGCTGACTCGGCCAGAGATCCCGTCTCATACAACCTCTTTGCAGCATCCTGCGGCAAATGCCAGAAATGACACCACGTCCCTGTTGAATCAAGGACAATCTTGGTGTGGTCGGGGAAATTAAACTGCATGTGCCCATCGCAGAACATCCAGCACCCCACATCGCCAAAACGCTGATAGAACGTAACAACATCATTCGGCGCTGCGTCCAGGTCTGTGATGGTAGGAGGGCGGATGTTAGCCTCCTCCGGGTTCTCCATCTCACGACCATAAGCAATCATGTAATTGGCAAACTTTTTCCACAAGACCACCCTCTCCCGCTTCCGATGGTCGTACATGTCTTTACCGGCTGAGAGTCTCCCCACTGACCCATCCGAGTTGACTGTTACGGCAAAGTTTTGAGGAGGGACTCGAACACGCGAGATACCATCCTCCCCGTTGTTTTCGTAAAAGTAAATGCCCTCATTCATGGGGACAATCTGGTGTCTGTCCCTATAGGTCGGGTCCTCCTTCCGCTGACAATGCCGTTCAGCACCGTGAACCAGCAAACAAGCGGGAGGCAAAACACCGCTTCGGGAACCCTCGTTTGCAGGAATGCTCCGGAGGATGCATCCAACACTGCCATCGTTCAGGATGTAGCCCAAGCCAAACTTGTTTGTGTAATCAACCCACTTGACCACAATCTGTGGGGGAGCTGGCGTTTGCTCCTTGGTGGAGACGATAGCCATGGTACGGGCATTGAGCGCCCTTTCCAGTTCCGCTTGCAACTTCTGGAGACGGTCCAAGACAACATCAGGTTGAGTGCCCGGGACGTGTTCCTGACACTCCGTCGGGCCAAAGAGCGAAAGCATCTCTTCCTGAGGTTTGGCTGGCTTGGATACCGATGGTCGCGTCTGCGGAGCAGCCTCTTCGGCAGGCAAGGCTGCCGTGGTCCTGCTTCTCGTTGGTTGACTGCGCAAGGTGCGACTGGTTCTTTTCGGTGCCTCTTCAGCGGTCTCGGCAGTTGACGATACTGGTGCAGACAACTCTCGCCTAGGTCTCGCCCGCAAGCTGCTCGTTGTTGTTCTCGATACTGGCTCGGGGACTGTTTGAGACCGAACAAGAGGGACAGGGGCAGGGGCGGCCGTGGTAGCCGGTCTATGCTGAGCTCTCTGCTGGGCAGCAAAACTCTGTGGTGGTGCTCGCAAAAGGCCTGAAGGCACTCTTTGACTCTGAGACTGGGTGCTCTGGCTAAGGCCACTAAGATCGTCAGATACAGAAAGTTGAGACAGTTTTTCTGTCGCTTGCTGAGTGGCCCGGTCTTGTTGCGCGGCGAGGCGTTGCAGTTTCTGCTCATTCCGGACCTCGTCAAACGGACGGTAAACAATACCCTCGGCCAGAGGAATGACAGGAGTCAGCCCGTAGTGTTCCTCTTCTGCCATCTCCCGCCAGATGTTCTTGAACACCAGTTGTGACTGTTGCCAAGGCCCAACACCACACTCCTGGCACATTTCCTGCACGGTCCGAAGGTTGATGGCTTGCGCCTTGGAGCTGGAAAGAGGCTCGTAAAATGCAGCGCTTTGTGGAGGAATCTCTCTCAGTTTCGGTGTGATTTCGGAGGAGCTGGGCATGTAGCCAGAGGTGAAGAATGGGTGACCAACGATGGTATCTGGATCTGGTCTTTGGGAGGCTTCTTGCAGCATTGTGGCAACAAGGTCCTTAGCTTCCTGGCTGATGAATGGGCGCCCGGCAGATGGCGCAGGCCATTCGTAATCTCTATCTTTGGCACGTCGGTAAATCTCGTCGGTTGTCGAGGACTGGAAAGGCGGCTTCGAAGTAAGCATAGCAAAGACAATAATACCCAAGCTCCAGATATCAACCATGTGATCATGACCCTTCTTGCCCTTCTCCAAGATTTCGGGTGCGATGTAGTTGGGTGTTCCGCACAGCGTTGTCCGGCGCATAATCTGCATATCCTTGCCTGTCAGAAGCAGAGCAGCCAGACCAAAGTCTCCAATCTTGGCATTCATGTGTTTGTCGAGGAAGATGTTGCCCATTTTCAGGTCACGGTGGATGATACCCTTGGCGTGCATGTACTTGATGGCGCCAGCAATCTGCACCGAGTAAAAGCGCACCTCGGGTTCCGTCAACCCCTTGCGCCTCTTGACCATGTCCATAAGCGAGCCATTGGGGCAGAGTTCCAGGACCAGGTAAGTGCATCGCTCGAAAGTGAAGGCGCGGTGGAACTGGACAATATTCTGGTGTCGCATTTTGGAGTGAATTTGCAGCTCGGTTTGGAACTAGAGAGGTCGGTTAATTCTTCTGCCAGATGTCAACAGAAGTATCACAGGAGATCACACCTTTTGCTCCATCTTCGTTGGCATCTGGCTTTTGACAATCTTGAGCGCAAACTTTTTGGAGGATCCAGCTGGTGCCCCCTCGTAGCAGATGGCAAACCCGCCCTTGCCCAAGGCCTTGCCAACCTCGTACACCATGCCTTCCCTCCGGTCCGAGCTGGGTGGTTCGACGACATTGTTGGGTGGTGGTGGCGGGTGTTCCTTGTCCTTTGCGGCTTTCAGAACCTGTGCTGCGGCCTTAGTCTTCAGCTCAGTCCGAGGGAGCCGCTGGGCGTTGGCATCCCTTGGGGAGAGGGCCTCCATGTCGACGCCCTTTGCAACCATCGCCGACTGTGTCCTTTGCTGTGTTGCAAGCCGAGAACTTTTTGTTCTCAGCGATGTTGTGGTGTTCGAGGACGAGATCGGTGAAGAGGGGACCGAAACTAACGTCACGCGTCAAACGGCTGGTCCACTATTCTGTTGACACGTCAGTAATGTCCAAAATGCATGCAGTGCTGTCAACAAGACAGCTTTGGGCGTTGCAAAGGTGCACGCGACATGAATTTTCGTTTGGGATGGGTGGGGGGCAGGGAGGGCCGTTGTAAACAAGCAAAAACGCACCGTTGGACTGTGTTGACTGTTTGGCGCTCGGTGGCCGTCATGAAAAGTAACGGGCTATTACGATTAGTAGACACACCGGAAACCGAGTCGACAATTACACCAAACTGTGTAAGTGGCAACAAAAGCCGGCAATCAACAGATGATGGTGGGTGATGCCGGAAGTGTGTGGATGTCGCTTGTTCAAGAATTCAATGTGGATGAAAGGCCAGTGAGATCCATGTTTGCTCCTCCCCGGTGTCGCCAGGGCAACGGCCTTCAAACGGCGGTAACACTAAGTTGTCGGATGTGCATGGGCCACATCTTATCTGATAAGAACATTCACCTCGCCTGCTTCCTGCGTTTGATCAATTCTGATTGGCCATTCACCGTCAGAAAGCTCCCCGCCATTGCCGATGACTCCATCTCATCAACTGAAACTGATTGCTATACCGGTTATTTGCTCTCTCGAGTGTTGGTTTACTATGCAATAATCGGTATATCTTTGTTGAGGGATCCTTGTCTCCTGTATTAATGTATAGACGGCTAGCTACACGATATTGCTCCGCCATTACACCCTTCCCTCGACTATCTCGCCCAAGATCCTTGACTCAGCAACATTCCTCCTCCCCCATCTCGCGAGATTCCCAAATTTCTTGGCCAACTGGAGGCCAGCCAAGATTCGCCATGGTTTCCCTGCCCCTATTCAAAATCGCTGCTCTCTTTGTACGGCATATCTCCAAATATGGCGCGGTTCGTCCCCCTTGACCCGACTCTTCTCCGCGGCAGACCACTGATGTTGGTTTCCGCTGCAGAATCACATCAAGCACCAAGCCCATGAACATCCACGCTTTCGCGCCTTCGCTGCCAGATACGGCCAGGTCATCCACCAAATAAACATGCGACTGTCGGTTGCTACGATGCGCAATACCGAAGCTGCTCAGAAAGCAAAGGAGAAAGCCGAAGCGCCCACAGTCAAGACAGAAGAGCAAGTCAAGCGGGAGGAAGAGCTCAAGGCCAAATATGGGACCACCCCACGAGACTCTCACCCTGTTAAGGAGCCACCAAAAAGCATCTGGAGGCGACAATTTAGGGCTCTTCCTGAAGCCAAGGCTGTGGATTTGTTTGCGGATGTTATTGGCGATGCGTTCATCTTGGCCATTGCCACCGGGTTGGTCACTTATGAGTACTGGAGAACCTCTCAGAAACCAGACAAGAACAAGGAGATGATCCAAGAGTTGGAGAAACAAGTTGAGGAGTTGAAGCAGAGGGGAGAGGAGCTTGAGGAAGCAGAGAAGCAGCAGCGAGAGAGGGTGCGGCTGATTGAGGAGGCTCTTAGGGCATTCAAAGACCCAAAGACAAAGCAGCCCCTTTTGGCTACCCCTGCGGCATAATTCATTCAAATCGAGCCTCGCTGCGGGGATGTTCACAGAACGGGCAAGCACCACTTAACGTGGCTGCCTGAGCATATGTGCAATGATGTAAGTATTAGACAGCGCTGTGGGTCATTGTAGGTCCAGTGACCCGATGTGGCTTTGAGTTTTATGTTCTGGGGAAAGAGCAATGATAGACATGGCAGGCGGGAACTCATCTCTGGGATAGAAGGAAGTGATACCCTCTTACTTTTCACAAACCAAAGTCTCAACACATTTCCAATTGTGTTAAGTTGCTTTCTACCCATCAGTGACAGCAAACATGAGGAGCCATCACCTTGTTGAAACACCAACCAGCCTCGTTTGCTCAACCCTGAGATCCCGTCAACCATGGACAACAGTCGCGACAATGCTTCTGCAGTCAGACAGTAGAAAATGGCGTGGTATGAACCTTCGGCCACAACGCTTTCTCCGACAACATTCTAACCAGTTATAGAATCTACCCTCCAGTCCCACGACATCTCTCTAGTCGTTGAGCAAGAGCATGCGGAGGTCTTTCAGGTCTACAAGTTTATCTTGATCTCACCAGATGATGTCGAAACAGGGGAGCCTACAGCAATGGCTCGAATTACCCAGCTCGGGCGAGATCTCGGCGATGCCAAAGCAGGTGTCATTTTCCTACTAGACCAGGAGAATGAAAAGGAGCACGGAGATGCTATAAAAGCGTTCATGTCACTTCAGATCAAGTTTGCCTCCCTCTTTTGCACTTTCTGTTCATTTTTCCACTGACATGATTCCCAGATTGATGGATGTCCACCCAAGTGTCCCCATTCTCCCTTTGACTAGTTTTGACGCGTTACCATCAACCCTCAAAACTTTCCAACGTGGATATTCGGAGGGCCTTGATGACGGAATTCAGCAGCAAGTGAATATTGATGTTCCTAGGGATTTGTTAGGCTGTTGTTCGGCAGGAGAAAGGCAGCTCTCTAGGCAGGCGGTCGATACGATGTCTCAGAGTGGAGAATTCTTCAGCTTTCGAGAGCTGTTGGTTGATGGCCAATTGGCGGAACGCGAGGGTCAAGACAGAATGCACGATGTGTTGGGACCAGAGGATGGGAAGAGATTTGTGAGGTTCTGGTTGAGCTAGGTAGGTATGCCATCCTCTCTCTGAATAGGGAACCCCCAGAAGGTAGATCGATCTGGTAAAATCTCGCCCAGGAAGGACAAGCTGGGAGAAATCAGTCTTCACCAACCAGTACACCACACCAGGTTATCGTTAGGCGCCAAACCAGCACAACTTCACTTTACCAAGTTCCGTGTTTTGCTTTGCCGTTCAATTCAACAGTATCTGTATGCTTGAAAAGTTAATCATCACCTCTGTACTGACATAGAGCTAGTGAACACAGGTATCTGGGTATTCTAATTCCCCTCAAAGGGCACGGCACTACCCCATTCATCTCCCCATCTCTCTCCGATTCACGTTCGACAGTGAGTATGCCTAACCTTGAATAAGGCAGGTCGCCGAGCTGGTTTCATATGCTCATGATCAATATTACAAAGCCATTTATCTCTGCCGATTGCATCTCGGCACCAAGAAAATGCTGACTGCGTGAGAGGGGTCGCTTCCTATTTGCCCCGCCCCAGAACCACAACCCTCCAGGTGAAGCAGACAGGCGGCGCTGTTGCATACAGCCTCGTCCCTTTATCACACTCGTAGTTGAGGGGGCCAAGTAAAATACTATGGCGTTACATGTTTGAATCCTCACAAGACTTCGCGCTCTCAGTTTGGCCTTTGTATATCGAGTAAAAAAGCCATCCCTACGATATTCAGCATCACCCACCAACATGAACGGTCAAGACGACATCAGCTTGCTCTGGGCGGATGCTCTTAACGAGTATACCAAGGAAACAGCACGGCCACTTGGTCCTGAGCGTCTTGCTGCCCTCAGCAACATCTTTAGCCCTGAAGAGCTGGGCAAAGTTATCGAGGATTCAGGAGCCGAGTTTCGACGTTTTCGTCCTGACAAGCCTCGACTGTGGTCAGCACTCAAGACTTTTGTTGCGCCAGTCTCAACACTTGCAAGAATAGCTGTTACCCCCGCCTCAGTAGCTGACTTCGGTGTTGCAACGAGTGCCGTTCTCGGCGCAGCCGTATATCTCATCAAAGTTTGCGAAGGCGTCTCCAGCGCTTATGACTGGGTCGAGCAGGTATTCCGGGAACTGCACGACTTCACGGAGGGGCTAGACCAATATGTCAATGTCACCATCGATGGTGCGCTGCGGCGAAAGATCGTCGCAATTCTCGCTACTATTCTGAAGGTCATCGGGCGGTCCGAATACCTAATCTCCAAGCGACACTTTGATGCCTATCTCCGTGTCATCTTCCTGGGTAAAGATGAGGCTACCAAGAAACTGATCGACGACTTGAATCGCATTCTTGGCAGCGAACAGAGATACGTCCTCGGCGTGACATATGCAACAGCTCAAAGGACTGAGGAGATAGCCAAGACGGTCAGCAACACAGCAAACCAGACTTTGGAGCTTGTCAAGAACAGCGCAGACAGGCATCCAAGGACGAGGATGAAGCGCGCCTGAGGCAAATTCTTTGCGATACGTCGGCCTGCTCTGGAAACACATGCGCAGCACACTGTCCTCAGTTTTCGACTTGAAGTTCCCTGACGATCGCGATCCTCTCCTTCCGACAGAATCGAACGAAGACCTGGGAGATGCCAATGACCAAGCGGGCGGCCATTCCATTGCTTACGAAGATGAGGTCACTCTAGAGTTCAATTCCGACGACGACGATGAGGATGATGATGAGGATACAGCCTCGGATGGCGATTCAGACGACGAGGACGGCGATATATACAGCATTGTCTTCGCGCGCCAAGACAAAGTCCATTCCCAACTCTGGACCGCATGATGAGAGCGATTCCAGTACTGAGCTAAAGGCTCAATCTGAAGCTCTTAGCGAAATGCTAGAGGGGCTGAACATTGGCCAGTTGAAGTCCCGCGTCACCTTCTGCCACACACGCATCCGAGACTATCTAGTACGAGAGGGATCCCCCAAGACACGAGACTTCCGCGCGTTATCGATTATACCCGAAATCGAAAACGCCCATGTCAACATTGTCATTACCTGTCTTGACATACTTCGTCTGGCGCTGGCGTTGCCAACCGAGTCTGCTTTCCTATGTGACTACCCATTATGCCACCTTCCGTACCACCTGGAGGAGATTGATAAGGACGCAGTTGCTCCCAGAGATGCGGCCAAGATAGTTGAGGGGCTCTACTGGCTGTTTGGGACCGAGAAAGGATGTCTCAGTCTGCTGCAGTCGGTGTTGCAATATGATGAATTTCACGGGTCGCATCGGACATTCTGGAATATGTGAATTGCCACCGACAAGTACTTCAAAATCGTTCAGGGCTGGCTGGGGCAGGCGGAATGTCTTAAAGATCTCATGACGGGAAACTACGAGGACGACGAGGACGATGCTGTGGTGTGGATGCTCTCGGCCGCTGCGTCGCTCCCTGTTCTCCTGCAGCCCATGATGAAGGCTGCGTCCAAGAAGTGGTTCGACAGGCCAGATTTCAGTGCAGAAACCTACGCCGATAAGGGGAACTGGGTGACCTGGCTGCTTCACGGGTGGCTTAGCTGGGTAAGAACATCACTATTGTCTTTGCAAGTTTAAAGACTACTAACGTTTGCTCCAGGCTGAAGATGGGAAACCACCCACGGAAGAGCAAGAATTCGAATTAGGAGGAGTTGGTTGGGTTTTGAGCTTCTCACACCGGAGCGATTGGAACACGTCGCAGAGTGGGCTAAACGGCCAAAGGATGTGCACTGGCATACCTATCTAGGCTGGATGCTCCTAGAAGGGTCGCATTATGACTCAGCTATTGATCACTACAAACAAGCCATCGAGCTCTGCGATGATGCCTGGCCCGCATTGGAAGGTCTCGCCCAGTGTCTTGGAAGCCAAGGCAAGTACCAGGAGGCCATTGAGTGGCAAGAAAAGGCCATCAACGCCATTCCAGAAGACTCAACTTGGATCAGCGCCTATCTCTGGCCTCGGTTGGCGAATGGGCCGATCTTATTGGAGATGAAGACAAGGCGTAGACGGCGGCCAGGATAGGCTTCCAGACGGAGCCGTATGCCATCCTGGCCACCACGACGTACCTGACGAAACTCGATCAGCGAGGAGAGTACGCAGAGCTGATGTGGGCTTTCCAGAGCTTGCATGATCTGGAGGACCACCAACGTGAGGGGACAAGCTTGCTTGTTCGCCTGCTCGTTCACGGCGAATACATAATCTCGCAGATGGGCAACGCCTGTGCACGGAATGGTCGCCCTCAGTTTGCTCTGGACGCCCTTGACAAAGCGCTGGAAGTTGTCGACGCTGATGATGCACGTGGCTACCTCAAAGTCTGGCTTCCCTACCAAATAGCCACCTTCAAATATCACTATTATGGTCTATGGGAGGGGGTTGCCAAGCTTTGGGGGATTTTCTTGGAACGACTGTCGGCGAAGGGGGAGAACTTTCAAAGTTACTTCTCCAATTGGAAGAAATGGGCGAGAAACAGGCTCTCGCAGCATTATTTTGACACGGCAGTTCAGTCGTGGAAGCTAACCAAAGTCTACGGCCGCTCAGCGCGGACAAGCTCAAGGAGCTGGCTGCCGAGGTTTCCACCGGGCTGGAGGAGGGGTATGATGGTTTTGACTTGTTCCGCACCGACTATCCGGCCATGATCTGGGGGAGGTGGTCGAGAGTCTACAAGGGCGTGGAGGAATCGGTGTGGAGGAAGTGTTTCCCCGCTGCTGTTCTGGAGGGGCTGAACAGTGTTGATGATGATGATCCCACGAACGATACCGGCGGTTTACAGCACTTGGCCAAGATATTGCTGCATGCGGGCGACAAGCACAATGCTTCTGCTATTCTGGCCATTCTCTTCAATGGTGTCAAGGCTAAGTCAGAGCAGAGCGCGGTAGAAGGAGGGAGCGAAGATGACGGCGATAATAACAAGGACCATGCGGGAAGCGGCCAACATTTGAGTCTGGCTGATCCGCCGGCAGAGGCTCGTAGCCAGGAGACGCCACCTGAAGCCTCTCCCACCAAGGCAAACGAGTTGCCTCTCAATATCGACGAGGATGCCGGGATTTTTACCTGTGACCATTGTCAGAGGGAAACTGGCGAGGTTTCCGAGTTATATTATTGCGAGGTGTGTCCAGAGGTGACCAACTGGTGTGGGGAGTGTTTGGCACTTCTGAAGGACCCAGAGCAACGAAGGTCGATGATGTCCTACAGATGCAGCCCGGAGCACGACTTTTACAGAGTGTGGCCTGTTCCTGATGAGGCGAGATACATAGCTGCGTCGTCGTTTGAGGATGGGGTCACGGTGAAGAAGGAGTGGTTGGATCAGCTGCGGCGCGAATGGTGGGAGGTCACGAAGGAGTAGATGTGGCTTAGGGGTTTAAAGGGAACCTCCCAAAAGACATAAGTAGCCTCACTTCAGTCAATGATGGCTTTGGATTTAATGCAATAGATTTAGTCAAAAAAACACCAGGGTTGTGAAAGCCATAATCCCCCACCATTAACTCCGCCCCAGACAGTTGCCAAGTAGATAGGAGCCGGAGACGGCCTTCAACCTCACAACCATTCCGTGCGGCACAAGGCGCGGGGTCGGCAAGCAAGCACGCAATTCAGCGGCGATGGCGGCGTTGACGAGACCGCTTGATCGGCCGAACCAAGACTAGATGAACTCTTTCGAACAGTCAAGCAAGGCGAAAGATCCTTCGACCCAGTTGACGTGACCAGCCAGCTCCTTCTGCTTCCAAGCGCTTTTGACATGCTACTCTGATCTTATCACAAAGGCTAGCAACCGACTGACTGCCCGGCAACATCATCACGTCATGAAGAAAATTGGCATCACAAGCTCATGGCACCACATGGCGACTCAGTCTTTCACATACGAACGCGAAGTCGACTCATTCGTCACCTCGATGGGACGGTCTGGTCTAGTTTGGCATGTGAAGCTGAGCAAGGGGAACAGCGTGGAGTTTATAAACTTGACCAAAAACAACTCTCCGGTGCTATCGAAAAAAAAAATTAGGATAAAAATAGGCACATATTGAAAGAAGCGAACCGACCGGATGTGATTGCTGCCGGTAAAGCACAATGTTGCGCTTGTTTATGCAAGACGATCGTTCATGGCTGTTTGGTAGGTCTGATTGGTCAGGCGTCCATGTGGGTCTTGAAGAGAAATCCAATTGTTGCGGGGGACCAGCCGCCAGCTTTTCTGTCCGGGACCACTTTTGACGACCCAAACTCCGAGACTTTCCCAAAGGAAAAGACGACGCTAATTTTTCTTTCTCTCGATCTGCAAATGCACGAGGGAAGATGGCTGGCAGGCGGAAGATGGCCGGGCCGGGTGCAGGATATATTCGAAATACCACCGAACAATGAACCTTTTCCCGGTTGCCCGACTTTGAGCCCACCGCTGTTTACGACATGACGTTTCGCGTGGAATCCGCAAGGTTGTGTTGTAGTTGCTACGGAGAAATAAAAGGACGCCAGTGATGGCCAAGTCGATGGCGGGAGATATGGCGGGTAGGGTGAGAATGGGAGTGGTTCGCTGTTGCTTAGGATGGAGATTGCTAATGGCGAGATGCTTCACTCGTCACCCTTCAGTTCAAGGAATTGCTCGATGCCAAGTTAGACTACGGTCCATCGTCCGATTACAAGTCGCCCTATTCTGGGAAATTTCTCATCCGATGCCTCGATGAATTGAATTCGGTTCAAGCTCCGCCGTCTTCCTCGCCACGGAATACAACTTCATCGACATATATATGCAGCAGCAGCGGAATGGACACGCGGGATAGATATAGCTCAAGCTGTGTAGCCGACAGAGAGGCAGCTGAACACGTTCAAACCCGCTCTGCGCCGCCCGACAACAGCCGGTTTGACGCTATCTAATATATATCTTGAATGCTGTTCATGTTCCCTACGATCGAGCAGTTCGCTTTGGGGGCGGGGCCCGTGTCCGAACGCAAGCAAGCGGCGGGCAAAGCACAATTGCATTGTGCACGAGCCATCAACGGGAACCAGCGCATATCCCTGCTCTACCCCTTTACCCCTGCCAGAACATTCATGGTCCAAGCTCGTCTGATGAAAGTCCTCAAACGGCTTGTGCTTCAGCAGGCCGCCATAGGGGTGGGACCCGGTCTCAGGACTTACGATGATGGGGTTGCGACAGGAGATGCGACGGTCAAAACTCTGCGAGTACGTCCATTATCAAAAACAAGGCATTTCTTCTTTGCAGGCGGCTCAAAAAGGGGTGGGAGGCTTACCTACTTCGTACTTGGTAGGGTTGATCGGAGGATTGCTTCCAGGTGAGCATACCGCAGCATGTAATTGCTTGCAGAAGGATGCTATCGAAAGCTTGGTGGTATTTTTAAAAAGTGCAAGAAGTCTGGGCGACATGTTGCTCTGTCAGTGGATTGGCCACGGCTTTATTCTGGTTGCTCGCTCAAAGAGTCGTTCTTGATAAGGGCAAAGTCACTTGACGCTGGTGAAGCGCTGACGAGTTACAGAATCGATACATGTTCCCTGGAGAGGGCGGGACCGCATGCCCAGAGTGCATGGGACCCCTGCGTCTGATACACGACAAGGCGGGTTGCCATCTCATTGGCTGACCCCAGCTTGTAACCGCCCTCGGCATGCCCAATCACGCCAGACGGAGCAAGACAGCAACCAGTTTCCCTCATTTCTCGCAAGCTTCCACTGGGAGAGTCACTATCACCACCCAATTGCTGCTGGGAAATCACGGCGGACAAAAGGCGACGAGGTACATGGACGCTGTACCAATACGCGGCGGTGTGCACACAATGGCACGAGGTGAGGCAAGATGGTTCACGGCTAGCACTTGAGGCCTCGGTCTCTGTTCGAGCGACCAGATGTGGCGGCCGATTCCCCAGCAATTGACGGGGCGGGGATCCACGTTCTTGTACCGTCTGCCGCCCGCCATCTTGCTCGCCATCCGCAATCCGCCTTCAAGCGGCGAAAACAGCCACGAGCGTAATGAGGACTGGCTGATAATCGCTTGTGCAGAGACGCGGGAGACGGGTCGGGGCCGTGGCTGGTACTGTCCATGAGACATCGAGAAGATCCTGTTTTCCCTTTCTTTTCCCTTTTCTCTACATCGACAAACATAACAATTCTTTGTGTTTTAAGAAAACACAAGGTCTCTTTCCATGTCACTCCCCCCTCGCTAGGGCACCCACTGTGACTTACAGGCATGCGCATGGCCCCATAGCCCGACTTGGTCACTTTTCCCTCAAGGTGCTACCTTGCAAGGTACCTCCCCTGGTCCAGTCTGGCCTGCCCTGTCGCTTCTTAAACTCGCATGGTCCCGGACGGGCGTCGATCAAGCAGCCGTCTTTACTCCATACCTACATTACATACAAACCCAAACGCCCCCTTTTGCTTCAAACCTCCCCCTTGGGTAAACTTCCACTCTGTCTGATCTCCAGTGCGACCTCCATGCGACGAACACCAGGCCTCTGACCCATGGCCGCCTAGTCCTCGATCCGAAGTAGAGAAGAAACAACCGCTCGGATGCCCACCATAATCAGAGTTTGACACACGAGACATACCCATCCCCTCTACCCCCTCGACGATTCTCCATCTGATACACCAAACCTCGCCCCCCCGGACGCCATCTCCACCACCGTCTCCCTGAACTTGACCCTGCCGAGAACGACCACCCAGCACCGGCCTCGGCAGACGGAGCGTAGCGGGACCCAATATTAGTCCTTGGGAGCCCCGCTGGCCGTGGGTTTCTTGGGATTCCCTCGCTTTTTCCTGCCTTTCCCTTCTTTCTTCTGCATCCGCTGGTCGATAGCCTTCTTTCATATCGATCATTCTTTTTTCGTCATACCTTTCGATTCTACCCTTTCAGGCCTTCAGCCCAACCCGCAGGTCCGGAACCTCGCCCATTTACGCCCTCCATTTTTTTGGTCTCGACGACAACCTTTATTCAGCGCTGTATATTTGTATTGTTTGGGGGTTTTATTCACTTCGCGCCGGGCCGCTCTTTTTTCTCGACTCAACTCATCTGTGGTAATTTCGTCGGCAGCAAGGAACGAAAAACGTGGTGTAATTTGAGGACTTTTGGGAAACGTCAGCATCATCAGCATATTCGAAGCGTTTGTGTGATTTTGGAATAGCACGGCAAAGAGCATTTGGGATTTTGTCATTTTTGGGGAATCATCGAAAGCAAGGAACTGTAATTTTGGAAACGCATCGGTCAATTTTTTTCATCAGTCAACATGGGAAAGCTTATCAAGAACCACTGGGCGAGGCTCATCATCCTGGCCTCGGCAACTTGTGAGTTATATCTCGTGAAAAAAAAGGGGGGGTTACTACCGAAGACCAGAAACACTGACATGAGAGAAAATCTAGACCAGATTGCCGCTGCGATAGAAGGGTACTTCTGGCCCAAGATCCTGTGGGACTTCCTCACCAAGACCCTCGACGGTGCCGTCAAGCCGATACCAGTCCTCCAGACCATCAACCTCATCTGCGGCCTTTTCCTTCTTGCGTGGGAGTGGCCCCTCAACTTCATCGCCGGCACCAGCATCCACCGCAGTCTCGAAGCCCGTCTCGCATTCCTTCCTCTTTCCGCACTCGCCGCCGCCCTGCTGTACCAAGGTGCCAACGCTGCGATTTATCAGGTGATTGGACTGGGGGTGTATTTCTGGGCGTACAGTGAAGGAGAGGTACGTTTTATTTTTCTTCTTCCCCCTCCCCTCTCCTGAACCATCAAACTAACATCCTCTCAACAGATCATCTGCGCAAAGCCATGGACACTACCACAACGAGGCGGAAAGGGAAGCAGGGCATAAAAAGCCATCATCTCTTCTGGAGTTTTTACTCAACGCAAAAGCACAAATACAAAAACCGTTTTTAGGTTGTGGCAAAACACATAACCAAAAGGAGCCTTTTTTTTGTCCCTACCTACATAACCGAAACAAGGACGTTTAGCGCCGACGACGGTGTGAATATCAACCTTCTACCCTTCTTCCACTTATCTTACAACTCCACATCTCACCAAAAATCTTTTTCTCTTCCTGGCCGAGCCGGAGACAACAATAACCGACACTACTTCCGAGGAACTGTGCAAAGGAAGAAGAGAAGGGATGATAATATAATGCCTTTTGGGAAGTGAGGGATATGTGAGGAAGAAAAAGGGGAAACGTACATATATACAACGAATGATACCAGATCCCAGCAAACTTCTTAGAAGAGGATGGATGAGGAGGAAGCAGCAGCAGGCAGTAAAGAGAGAGAGAGAGAGATAGGATGAGGAGGAGCAGGGGGAAGGAAGCTTTCTATTTTTTCATGAATATACTAGTATTTCTTATTCTATCATGATGAACATTTCCTTTCTTTACCATGAACAACAGCGATGATGGTGGTTGCATTTGCATGAGAGGGAGCAGGAGGGGCAGTGCAGGGAGGATATCTTAGGGGTTGTGTTGTATATCCAAGATGTGGAGCTGTAAAAATCTCAACAACACATGAATACATCGCCTCCGTTGTGGTAAACGCTGACAACAACTGTCTTCATGGCAATCGTCGGCTGATGTGAAATTCCATCTTTGCATGTGTAACCTCAATCATGACCAACTCCTTCACATCTCAATTTCACCACACCCGTGGACTCAACTTCGAAATCCATGAAAGCATTTCTCGCAGTGGGTTGGTTACACACCGACAAAATCCAGTCCCATTCCATGATCCCACCAAACCTCACCAACTTTTATCATCCTTGCTCAATTTTCACTCCCTTTCCTTACCTACCTAGACACCTCACTCGGTATAAATTTCATTCTACAACCTCTCCCAATCTCTCTCCCTTGGGTCACCTCTCACTCACTCGCCGAAACTCAAAATCCATAAATAGCACTTTCCAAAATCTCGGAAAGAAAAAAGAAGGCTCCTCATGTCCTACAAAAACTCCGGCGGCTCACGAATCAACTTTGTGACACCAAACTGAGACACCTTCTCACTGGCTACCTCGAAAGTTCTGGATGTTTTCATCTGCGGGTGGCGCCCAGCCTTTCTCTTGTCTCACATTTCACCGACACAACCGTCATCACGTGGCTCACAAGCGCCCAGCATACTTCTGTAACACATTTCATACCAACAGACATCAGTTAATCAAAAAGTCATCTCAGATCATGTCATTGTTTGGCGTGGTATCTAAAGGCTACCCATTCCCTTAGGGTTAAATAACTCCTACGCCCCTTCACAAGATATTCCCCAATCCAGCCATCACCTTTCGCCTCGCTCCAATGTAACGATCCCAATTCCGTGATTTCGTCCAGGAGTAGTATCGGTGTAACTGGGATTGATTTAATCGAATGTATTAATGGGTAGGAAGCAGACAGCGATTGATCTCGCCAGGAGGTGGCAAGTGAGATGTTGGTTGCTTATCTGCCGCTGCCGATAGCGTTGGCATCGTTTCTGAAGCCCTGGCGCTCTTGCAACTATATCAAAGAGATTCGTTAGCGATCATGTTTCGTATAGTTTGGTTGATGTCGTGGAGTAAATTTTATGAGCCAGCCTCCACCAGCGCTGTCAAACATGAGATGGTTGCTGGCGACTCAACATGGCCAGTCGGCCACCTCGCACCCGAGCGGCTCAGCGTGGGGCTCCGCAAACCACACTGCGAAGCCCAGTTTCGCGAGTCGCCAGGCCGGCCGCCCAGTCTCTCGCATCTGAAGCCAAACGGCGTAGCAGAAGCTTATACAGGCGACCTCATCCGCGAAACTGGCGAGGCGGCCGCGGCGGCCGGATGATGACAGTGGCTTATTTGACATGCTGGAGCCTTGCCTGATTCCACCTCCCACCAGCAAAAGAACACGAAAGGGAAGAGAAGCAAACACCGCTTCAAGTTTCACATACCTCAAACTCCTGCAGTGTGCCCTTCTCCAAAATCTTAATCACGGCCTCATCCTCGTTGGAAGTACCAAACTCGTTCTCAAGCAGGGCATTCGAGGCACCCTCAAGTCTGCCGTGGGGCCCGTGGCTGTTTCTCTTGTCAGTACTTTGCACACAGTGTATTTATTGCGTCATTCATGTCGCACAACCCGACATAGTATTGCGGGGTAAATTTGACGAGGAGGAGTAACTCACCGGTGAGTAGCAAAGACCTTGAAAGAAGAGACAACCTGGGCGAGGGGGGTCGATCTGTCAGAAACCCACTTCTGGTAGTCCTCAACACTGTCGACAACGACGACAAAGTCATCGTGCTCGCCCTTGAAGAAAACCTTGGCGCGGGTAGCCTCTCCACGAGTCATTTTGGCGGTTTGTTTGTGTGGTGTTTACTGAAAAGTTGGGGTGTTCAGGTAGATGTTGCTGCGGTATATCGCAAGCTGGAGCTGTTCGTTGATAGTGTTGTGGTTGTTCGTGGGGTTGGTCAAGTAGTCGTTGGAGCAAGTTGCTGTGGATGGGGAACACTAGTCAGTTGTTGTTGCTTTGTGTGAAGAAGAGAAGAGGAGGAGGCCGGTCAACTAACCTTTTATTACTTGCGGAAAATTATTCTCAAAGTTCGGATTTTGTTGATGGATGGGAATTGTGTTGTGAGTGGGAGTTGCTTTGTTCGCTCCTGCTCTTCATATAAGAGCAACCAAAGGGCTGCTCCCACAACTACGTCATAGGTGACGATAGAGCTTGGTTCCTAATTGGGAAGGGGCGGCCCGCAATTTGATTCACATGGTGGATCTGTGCCCCGCAATGGCCGGCGGCACTGGATGAATAAGCTCAGCCCCGCCAGATTCACGGCTCTCTTGGCACCACCTGGCTACACGAATGGCGTCATCTTGCAAGCTGTCAAGGAGCGAGGAAAGGTACGATTCATTCCAACTGATGGTCCGCCGCCTTGGAAGCTTCACGAGGGGTCCCCGATTACTGCTCCAAGAGCTTCCAGAAATCCAACCGCGCATGTCAAAACCCAGATCTGCTCCCCTCCCGTGCCTCCACAAATGGATCCCCGCCCATTCACGCAGCCTCCCGAGTTTGCCTAACCCATCTACGTCACTGCCCCTGATCTCAAGGCACCATCTTGCTCTGGATCACTGGAACATTCCGACGGAGCACCAAGATGGCGTGGTTGACAGCTGGCTCAACAAACATCTCACGTGTGCAACAGTTCGCCCTTGGCAAAGCTCTTGTAACGCCTCACTTTTAGTCAGATAACACGTTTGCTGCCATTTGCCGTGTCCGCCAGTGACTAAATCATAACTACAAACCCCACCAAGTAAACACAACAACCACCATATTATGTATGCCTCAACAGACGCCGTAGTAGTGATGAATCAACCGATAAAGAGGGGGTATCAAATGCTTTTCAAAACCTGATGGACCAAAAAACCAAAAAAAAACCTCATGCTTGCTTCTTCTCTGGTATCATATTTCCTTCTTTTCCGCCCATGCCCCTCAACGAAACAAAAAGCTTCGGATGCCCACCACCGCCTCGCGATGGAGAACCCCAACTTTAGCCCAACGACTCGCAAGCTTTTGTGACCGAGACGAAGTCTTCCCTACCGAGTCTGGAGGCGAAGTAAGCCTGTTCTCCTTCTTCAGATCTTCCCGGGACAACGACGCCTCGCTAAAATGCGACTTTTGCAAGCTCGGCCGCCGCGAGCTGTTCGTAGACGGCTGCAGTACACCCACCATCGGTGTACAAGGCCGTGACTGGTTCCTTTCTCCCCCGTAAAAGACTGATGTGCGTGTCGTTGTTTCGGCCGTGATATCGCCGACCCGTTCCTTTGCCGTCGTCGTTGCGAAAACCTCCGTCGCGGTCGACTCCCACTGTTGTTCTGGCCCCGTTGCCAGCAAAAAGGAGCTGCTTCTCTCTGCTTCATCAGGAATGACCGAGAGAAAAGACATACATTCATCTTCTGACCTCCCACGTACTGATGTCGTTGTTGCCATCATCGCCGCCGTTTGGACAACACCACCCTCCTTGTTATTTCGCGTTGTCACCTCCTCCTCGGTGGTAACATTCTTTTGCAAGCTTGCAAGGCTTGCGGAACGTTTCGTAAAACTACTCGCGATACTCACGACGCTTAACTTCCGCATGACTGACGAGGCCGACGACCTAACAAGGTGCTCGCTCCTGGATCGGGCAGTTATCCCGGGAAAGGGCAGTATGTCCCGGGTCCACACATCCGACATGAGAGCCTCGAGCCGGGCCCTTTCACCACGGGAAGGCGCCAACACCGGGATACGGTGGTTTGTGGCCAACAGGGACTGCGATCGGTTGATTTGAGCGCTGTAGCTCGCTGTCGGCACATCCTTGATGACGCTCGTGTTTTTGAGAATGACTTGACACAAAGGAGATCTTGGCCCCACCGTCGTTGCTCGGTGTATCGATATTCTTCTGGCAATGGTTCCTGTTTTGTCATGAGTAACTGCCCACGATAGCATCACGGCCCGCGTGTACATACCTGGTTTTCTAAAAACAGTCCCCAGTGTTTTGATATCCAGTGAAAGCGAGCTGAAGATGGCCGGTTGCATTAGGTCCTGGTCCGGGACGCTCAAGGTCCGGCTGCTGAGCCGAGTGCGCCATTCCAGTTCCTCCTTCGGCGTGCAGGCGGTGAGGATGAGTTCGTACAGCTGGTTGTCGCACAAAAAGACAATCTTCCAAGAATACGGCGCCGTGTGACACTGGAGTCCTGTACACTGCCGTTAGCTTTCCCCATCCACAGTCAGGAGAAATTCCGCCCATTGGTGTGCCTACCTCGACCGTTATCTACCTCCTCCACCTTAATGTTTGACAATGCGATGCACGCCTGAATCGTGTATACCTGGTCGATCTTACTAGCCGTCGCAAGGCAAAACCACTCCTTGTACAGGAGCGCCACCATGTACTGCCCGTTCACCCCTTCTTTGGACTGCCAGCAGACATGAAGGGCACCACAAAGCTGAATGTGGCCGAAAGACCGAATACGGTTCTTGGTAGTTGCATCTAGTTGCTGTACAGATATTGTAAGCATGCATCAGCCAACAGAGCGGGGAGATGCCTACCTGGTTAGGAAATGCAAGCCTGTCCTGGAGAATCCAAGTTTTCTCCAGCACCGTACGCACACGAGGGTCGTCTGTGGCCCGGTTGATCTCGGCCGTGGCCTCACGTAGCCTGATAAGCGTGTTCTCGATCTCCATGTGCGAATAGGGACAGTCCACCACCGGCGTATGCTTGAGCAGCTCGGAGAAGAGCAAAGGGTACTTGCATACCCGTTGAATCGGCTGCCAACATTAGCTTCAATGCCCTGAAACGTCACACGCAGCACCTGGCAGCCTTACTTTGACAAGAAGGTCACCGATGGTCAGACTCTTCTTGGAATGATCACCTTGGCCGTCGATCGAGCCCACGGATGCAGCGAGAACTTCCAATCCCTTTTGATACGACTGCCACCCTGGCATTGTCCGATGGGCAGATGCGACATCTTTAATCATGAGTTCGTACTTTGCCCCGTACTCTTCATAGATAAAGAATCGATTCATCTGCAAGTTTTTCTCAGGTTAGCACGCACGCTTCCTCGGAAAACAAGACCTGGGGCTTGCCGCTTGCCTTGTTCTTGAAGATCTTTGCAACTTCTGCCACCGTTTGGGGCTCTGCGAGCAACCCGGGCACATCTCGCAGCCATGCTACCCCGTCTTTGTCCTCCGGGACAGCATCAAGGCTCCTCCAACGCTGGTGTCCCCGGGCAGCTTGGTTAGCTTGGGGGGCTTGAAGCGGCACATCGAGCTGAGAATATTCAGAGTGAGGGACCGCTCGATGGAGCTCTCCTAGCATTTCCTCGTGCAGCTCCACAATGTCGGTCAAGTTCTGGTTGATGGAGGAACGTATGGCGACGGGTAGTGTCGGTAAAGAAGCTAGTATCGTGACATATACCTGCACAGATATTAGATATGCAAAGGTCCACCAAGATACACAAATATACCAACATTCATCAGGAACCTCACGTCCCCAATATAGCTCTCTTCGGTGCTGATCAACTCCTCCAATATTCGACGTCGTTGTAGCGACCTCTCGATGACGGCGGGATCCAGCACCACCTGTCGTTCCTGACAGAAACTGTCTTCAGAAAGCCGTGCTCCCGAGACGGAAGCTCTGCTGCTGCGGTCCGTCCTCGAGTGGCCACGAGATGATCGTATCGTGTTTTTCCGTGAGCGCGTTAAGACACTGACGCTTGTCAGGGAGATACTGGCGCTTTTGACCGCCGACACAAAGTTGAATGACGAATCTGACGAGTGCCGATAGTGCCCCGAATCCCAAGTCATCGAACTTCTCCCTTCCATATCGAGACAGCATGGTGTATTATTGCCATCGCCCCCAAACAGTTCCTGACGACGCAACGCTCGTTTATGCAACGTCTTTATCCATTTCTGAAACGGCTTGATCGGTTCGGACGCCGGCGGCTGGTGTTGACAAACTCCAGCTTCAGTAGTCCCCTGGTGGATGAATACTTTCTTCTCTAAGTCCTGTTCTTGCACCACAGTGCCCATGGCACCAATGGCATCCATGAAATCGATCTTATCCAAAGCGCACCAATCCTTCGTTCTCTCGGCGCGCGTCTCTCCCTCGGCGTAGTCGGCCAGCCTGTCCCTGTCAGACTGTGTAAGACCATGGAGCGTGCCAGACGGGAGTAGCGAAGAGAACGATATAGTATGGATATCCGTGAGTGACATTATGCAAGGTTGAGGTCCAAGAAACAAAGATTCAAAACTGTCTTCCAACAAGCCGGTTGGAGGGGAGGAGTCCAACACAGCGAACCAGCAGGAGGTGGCGTCTATCGAGTCAAATCAAAACATGCTGCAACAGAGAGAGAGAGAAGAAGAAAGAAGAGCCCCAGCAGCGTAAAATGATGTGTTACTGGTGTTGGAGAGACGACCGAGATGTTTTGGCCGAGCAGGACGAAGAAGCAAGAAGGTGCAGAGATTGATCGGCCACCGACATTGGAGGCGCCGGGCACGTACTGAGGTTCATGTATTTTGGCCAGGTGGAAGGAACATGTGGTGGTCTAATCTCCCCAAACGGAAACTTTGGCTTCCCACACCCGGATTGGGGGGTCGGGTGTTTTGATGCTTGAGTTTGAGGTGTTTAACCCACCCAAAATCCATAGGTTGATACCGAGAGGGCAGCCACGACCGTCTTCGTCAAGCCAGGGCAAGCCAGGGCAAGCCGATGCGCCTCAGCAGCCTCTGGCTGGTGACGAGCACTTGCTCGATGCATCAAGCAACGACAGGAAAAAACATCAGAGACAGCAGCGGCGGCGAGCTGGCAGCGAGAATCATGCAGCGCGGGTCTGATTGGAGCGCCATCCGGACTGCCACGACGGCCACCTCCCAGCCACGTCTCCTGTCCGATTGGACCCGGAAGCGTTTGGGCAGCATCAATGACGACGCGACAAGATACTGAAGGCGTTGACCGATCACGCCGATATCTGCCAGAACAGGCCCTGTTCCACAAGGCTTTCTTCAGCCTAGGAATATCTTGAACCAAAAGAATTACATCGGGTCTCCGCGGCGACCTTTCCGACTTCGGAATATTCAACACGAAGAGGCGGTGATTGTAGAAGTGATTGACTGAGACATCTGCTCGCGGTTGGGGGCAATGGTGGAAAGGAAAGAGAAGACGATCTGGAATGCACAATTCGGCATCTCAATCTCGGGACGGCGTGTGGATCAACTGCCCGCATATACCACGAAACCGCATCGAAGGTGTGAATGTTGGTGTGAGTGGATGTTGGATCGATGAGACGGGACTCACGGGAGGCGATTGCTGCCGGGGGTACCCTGCTGTACCGCCGGAACGGGACGCGCTTCCAGGGTGGTGGTGGGGAGGAGGGTGGCGCGGGGGTTCACTTGCCCAGAAGGCGCCCTGGTTGCGGTCAATGATTGCTACCCCGCCAAACTTGAACATTCCAGAGCTGCAGAGCTGTGAGATCCGCCGAACGCGTCATTGGTGGGAGGCTGATTTGTGTGATGGAAGCTTCCCTATTCTTATTCCCATTCCAGCAAACCACCGCCACTTGCATTTCAGCTATCACCAGGTATCGCCGAACATCATGAGCAACCTTCATGCGCCGACGGTTCCATCAGGGCCTACCACTGTCCCCGTCACCAACGGCCATGCTACACATCTGTCCATTCAAGAGCTCCAGCGCAAGAAGGACAACATCGAGGCCGAACTCAGAGCACTCGGTGGCGTGCTGGACTCGGTGCGTCGTCGCACAACCTGTATGGGCAATGCGCTTCGCTAACCAGAAGTATGCAGCATGGTGTCGACATGAACACGAGTCTCCTCACCCACGATGGTTTTCCCCGAGCCGATATTGATGTGGCGCAAAGTACGAATGCCGAGGGAAGGGACTTGGAGCATGACAGGCCAGAGCTGACACCCAGCCTACAGTTCGAACCACAAGAGCACGCATCATCCATCTTCGAAATGACTGGAAAGACCTGATGGCTTTGATTGAGAAGCGCCTTCATGAGCACTTTGCCAGTCTAGAGGACAATGACGACGATACAACAGTGAACGATCCTACCAGTGTCAACGTTGCCCTTCCACAAGACTCGGTACCCGAAACACCTGATCCAGCCTTTGCCAAGGTTAACACAGTGGTGGAGAATAGCCCCGCTGCAACAGCAGGACTCAAGCCTGGGGACTTGATTCGAAACTTTGGCTATGTCAATAGAGAGAACCACGATGGCCTACGGAAAGTGGCTGAGTGCGTCCAAGGCAACGAAGGGGTAAGTGTCATTCTATCTTATCAAACTCAAGCTGTGGCGTTGCTGGCTACAGAGGCGGAAAGCTAACCCTCCGAAGCAAAATATTCTTGTTAAAGTTTCTCGAACAAATGGAGAAGGAGGAGGTCGCGCACAGGAATTGAGACTGACACTGACACCGCGGCGTGACTGGGGTGGTCGGGGTTTGCTGGGCTGCCATATCTTGCCATTGTGAGTGTTGTAGTGAAGGGGAATTCAAGATTTCGACTGCTTTGGGCTCGCTCTGAGCTTGGGCTTCGAGCCACACCTAGTCTCGGCCTAAGAGGGATAGTGAGATCAGTGAGATCCCCTCCCTCAGGCTCGGGCTGCATATCTTGGGATCAGGCACCGCCTCGCATTTCCAGGGCATGGCAGCCTGGCAGCGGGCTACATGGGAGAGGACCGGGAGCACCAGCAGAATGGTCACAGGCCTGATAGCGACCACCTACAGTGTATGATACGCTCCCAGGTAGGCACCGACCCGACTAATAATCTGCTAAATAACACATATTAATCAGCACAAGTAGAAAAGGGTGTTGTTGTTGTATTGTAGGAAAAGTGACCTTTTGTAAGACATGCCTCAGCACCCCTGCTGCAGTACCTAATCCGGCAGCAAAGAGTGGGGTTTGCTCTCCATGAGGCTCACAAAGGGACGTTTGTAGTTGACACCGGAGGAGCTTAGCCGACAGCTTTGGAGTGTGTGAATCAATCACCATGAGGCTGCCCAATCTTGTTACCAAGCAACCATCAGTCCCTCCTGCCCGCCTTTGCCTGGCGGCAAGAAAAAGTGGGATGGAACGTCAGAGTTTCCATTTGAGTGAATACAGGTTCCTCCCAATTCGCCGCACTGACCAGTCTCTCACGTGACTCTCTACCACCCCGCCGCCCAACGAGTTTTTCGTCAAGGCTGCTGTGGTTCCAGCAGCTGCCTTTTGAAAACAACAACCACCTCCCCCCGGTGCCACTTCTTGCAACCCGACCACTGTCAACTTTTCCCGCTTCCCCCACAGACCAATAGGTGCGTATCCCATCGCAAACACCCTCGCGGCCATCTCTGCCAGTCGCCAGCCCCATCCATTCCTTCTTCGACCCTTGCCTACAAATACCCCTCCATCAGCTTGCTTGCAAAAACTAACGTGGGCCTGCCCAGACTCGTTGATTTTCTTCGTTCTATCATCACCATACATCACACATCATGGCTGAAGCGCAGACCATTCCGACCTTCAAGCTGGTCCTTGTTGGTGATGGTGGTACCGGAAAGGTTAGTTCGATTCATCATGGTCCTCGTCGTCGACCGACATAATACACATTCCCTTCACGATCGCATCAACACCGACTGCGGGGTTGCTAGTGTGGATGGATATCCCAATCGGTTGGGCAGCATGCTAACATGGCGATGCCCACAACAGACCACCTTCGTCAAGCGCCATTTGACCGGTGAATTCGAGAAGAAGTACATGGCCACCCTCGGCGTTGAGGTTCACCCTCTTGCCTTCACCACCGTAAGTTACCTCCCGCACGTGGGCAAGCTCGTTCTTGCGCCACCAGAGTTTGACGCGGCCCAACGCTAATATGCCTGCAGAACTACGGTCAGATCCAGTTCGACGTCTGGGATACCGCCGGTCAGGAGAAGTTCGGTGGTCTCCGTGATGGTTACTACATCAACGGCCAATGCGGCATCATCATGTTTGACGTCACTTCCCGCATCACCTACAAGAACGTTCCCAACTGGCACCGTATGTTCCCCCTTTCTGTAGCGCCCAAAATGTAGGTCATTTGATATGATGCTAACTGTCGCCATCAGGTGATCTTACCCGTGTCTGCGAGAACATCCCCATCGTTCTCTGCGGCAACAAGGTCGATGTCAAGGAGCGCAAGGTGAAGGCCAAGACCATCACTTTCCACCGGAAAAAGAACCTCCAGTACTATGATATTTCCGCCAAGTCCAACTACAACTTCGAGAAGCCCTTCCTCTGGCTCGCCCGCAAGCTTGTTGGCAACCCCGGCCTTGTATGTTTTCTTTCATGTCACATTTAGGTGCAGCACTTACTAATACCCCATCCAGGAGTTTGTCGCCGCCCCCGCGCTTGCCCCCGCTGAGGTCCAGGTCGATCAGGCTCTCCTTGCCCAGTACGAGGCCGAGCTTAACCAGGCCGCCGACGAGCCCCTTCCCGACGATGATGATGACCTTTGAGCGGCTCGAATCATTGGTGGCTTAGTCAAGCTCGAGGGGGGTGGTTCAGGATGATAACGCCGGTAATGAAGATATCTACCATACACAGAGGGCAGGCGGGCAGGCATTGGGATGGGAAGAGCGAAATACGATTCACGTATGGTAGCGTTGAGAGACGTTGGTTCAGTATCTGAGGAAGAAGAGCGGCGGTCAAATATTTCTTTTTGACGATTGGTTTCAATCAGGACCAACTCAACCGAAGTACGGAGGTAGATCTGGTTTTTTTTTTCTGCATTGCAGTTTGCTAGGTAGACCAATTTGAGACATCGTCTCGCAGGCAATCATTCTTTACCCCTCTCTCAAGCAGTGTCTTTTTTTTTCTGTGAACAATCCGTGAATACTACCCAACAATGCCCACCCCGCCGCTAGTATCAACAAAAGAAGGCAAGGGACCAAAGTTTGGGCGGTGAAGGCGAAGGCGGTGAGGGTCCAGCTGTCGAATGAGCGTTTCGGCGCATCATGACATCAAACCTCAGGTTTCGATGTCCTGCATGCAGCCAAGAGATGTGATGTGCTTTGTCAGCAGCGTTGACGAGATAAGCATGCCAAGATTTCCGTCTGGACTTGTGGAAATTACTTTGACTGATGGTGTGTTGCCTAGCAACGGGATTGGTATTTACGGATGAGGTTATTTTGAGGATTGCCATCGCCGAGTCAAGAGGGCTGAAATGATTGGTATGCGATTTGTCCCTTTAATAAGAACTGGTGTATGAAGTGTTGAAGGTGATTTTTTCTAGGGTTGAATAGGAGATGGAGAGGGCTGGTGGTATGGCATGCATGCTGTGTGTATTGATATTCGAGTGAGTGAAATAGCTACCTGTGATATGGTGAAACTTGACATTGTAAACGCCTGTGTTGCCGCCAGGTCCCTCTGGAAGTGAATGCAACAAAGTGATATCATCCTCCACCACGCCGGTCCATGAGAGGTGATAGACGAGAAGCCACGGAAAGACAAAAACAGATAGCAATTATGGTATATATATTAAGCCAAAAAAGCAAAACGTCATGAAATGGGGGATTTCCACCACATAAAAGTCCGCCCTAAACTAACAAGTAAAAGAAATCTCCATGTATATATGTAGCAAGACCGCCCAGACATGAAACAACTTCCGTTTAAATCCCCGGCCTCGAAAAATCAAGCCCCTCAGGCCAGTTACCCAACTGCCCTGGATCACCACCAATGCGAATGTACTTTCCAATCGCCGGAACACCGCCATCCAAAACAAACATCTGGTACCACCCCGGAGGAGCAATATTGACGTTGGGGGGGGCATCAACCGTGCACGCCGTCCCCGCGCAGCTCACCCTCGGCATGAGCGTCCTCGCGCCCATGGAGTTGCCATGCGTGGAAGAGACCGACGCCAACAAAGTAACAGTGATGGGGCCGTTCCTTGCCGCGACGCCGAGGGTAAAGGGGATGTTGGTCTGGTTGTATGTCCAGTCCTTGTTTGTAATCGCAAAAGTTGGCCTGGGGAGGCCGTTGAGGAGGTAAGGGGGCACAAAGACCTCGACGCGGTATTCATCGGGGTAGACGCCGTCCTCGGGGTTGGAGCCCGAGATGAGGACGCGGCCGTCGAGGAGGGTGATGGCTTCGGAGTGGTACATTCTCGGGATGGTGGTGTTGGCCATGACGGTCATGCGGCTGTGAACGGGCTTGGTGGGGTCGTAGAGCACGGCGTTCAGGTTGGGGGTGTTGGCGAGGCCGAAACCGGCCACGCCGTGCTGCGCGCCGTTGACGATGAGGTATGTTCCGTCGGGGAGGGGAGACATGCAGGACATGACGCGCTTGGAGGGCATGCGCTCGATGGTCCAGACGGGGTTGGGGGCGTCGGGGTAGGTGGACACGCAGTTGTCCAGCGCGTTGGAGGTGCCCTCTGTTGAACCACCGCAGACGAGGTAGCCGAGGTAGTCGGTGTATGGCCAGCGCTGGGGGAGGAGGACAGCGGCACCCTCGAGAGGGTAGGTGCGGCCGCCCTTGGGGTCGTTGACAGCGCCGGGGGCGTTGGGGAGGACCTTGATTGTGGCGAAGGTGACGGGGTCGAGGATGCGGGCCTCGTTCCAGTACTGGACGAAGATGCCGCCGCTGGGGAGGACCGAGAGGAAGGGGTAGAGGTTGTTGGGGTGGGTGCGGGTGAGCCATTCCATTTCCAATGGGGCAGCACCGGTGGCGGGGAGGAGCTCGATGGTGGGCTCGGCGGCGTCGTTGGCGCCGATGGAGCCACCAATGACGAGGATGGAGCCGTTGGTCATGATCATGGCGGTGGGATACCAGCGGCCTCTTTGCAGGCTGAGCTCCCAGACGTTCTCCTCCCAGTCGTTGGTGCCGGGGACGCCGGGGGATCCATCAGGCCAGTAGATGCGGGTGCCCTGGAGAGACTCACCGGACCAACCGCCGACATTGAGTTGACGACCAGCCTTGTCGGGGAGGGTCACGCCAGCAGCGCAGAAGACATCGGTCTTGATGTGAAGCTCACGGAAAGTGAGGGTTTGCATATCGAGCTCGTAGACACCAGTCTCGTTGCCAGGGCCGGTACCACCCTTGGAGATGAAGGAGACCTTGCCGGTGATGGTCTCCTGAGTGATGAGCGGGCAGTTGACACCGTTGACCAAGTGCTGGTACTGGCCGGCACGGTAATCCTGAGGGAAGCCCCAGCTGTAGAGGGGGGTGCCAGTCCAAAAGTAGGTAGTCAGACGACCGAGACCACCGCAAATGGCCGAAGCGTTGCCAGCACAGGTGATGGCGCACTCAGTCTCTGGGCGGAAGGTAGCGCCAGCGGCAGCAATGTTGGGAGGATCACCGCAGTAGCATTCCTCGCCGTACTCAAGACCAGCAGCGGCATAGCCGAACTCTCTGCACCTGTTCAGACACATGTTAGGCGTCATGACGCCAGGGAAGAAAAGCTGCCAGGAGAGGGTGCGCTTGTTGTTGACGTTGTCCTCAACGCAGCCTTGGTACTCCCACGAGCCGTTGAGACCGCGGACCTGGGGAGCAGGAGGCTGGTAGATCTCAGGTTCGCCCTCGGAGACGATGTTCATGCGGTCACCGGCACCGCACTTCTGGGTCGGGTTGCCGGGGCAGTTCATGCTGCACTGAGACTCGGAAGTGGTCACGCCGCCATTGAAGATGGCATTGCCGCAAAAGCACTGCTGAGTGTACTGGACACCGCTGATCTTGTAGCCGCCAGCCACGCAGCGGCTCGCGCACTCGCTCTGGCTGTTGGTGGGGCTGTCGACGAGCTGAACGGGGAGAATGCGGCCCTGAGCACCATCGATCCAGCATCCCTGATAGTTCCAGCCTTCGGGAAGACCAGTGACGACAAGAGGAGGCGAGGTCGTGGTTGGCGCAGCGGAGGTGGTTGTGCCGGAGGGAATGGAAGTGCCGTTCCTGGCATAAACCGACAGACGGTTGCCGGCGCCGCAATAGTTGAAGGGGTTGCCGGCGCAGAGCATGCTGCATTCACCGGCAGGGGCCACAACGGAGCCGACAGTGAAGCTGTTGCCGCAGTAGCACTCCCTGCCATACTCGGTTCCGAAGTAGGTGTAGGCAGAGCAGAAGGCCTGGCAGGACTCGAGGGTCATATCGTCGGAAGCATAGGTGGCACCGCTCAGGGCACGAGGGCCGGGAGACTCGGTGTAGCATCCATACCAGACGTAGTCATCTCCGACCGCGGCGGGCTGTGATGGCCCAGAAGGAGTAGGGCTGGGAGGGGGAGGGGGTCCTGTAGAGACGGTGCCTGTCGCCGTAGTCGCAGTAGTGGCTGCGGCAGGAGGGCTGGAAGTTGACGACGGGGTGTACTGGTTCTGGTAGTTGTACACATTGAGGCGGCTGGGGCCACCGCAGAACTCGGTAGTGTTACCGTTGCACGTCATACTGCAGCCGCTGGCAGCAGGGGCACCGCCGTTGGAGATAGTATTACCGCAGAAGCACTCTCCACCATACTCAACGCCAGCAAGAATGTAGTTGGCCGCAGCACAGGCAGCTGTGCACTTGGCAACAGTCATCTCACCAGCAGGAATGCTGCCGATCCCGTGGGTGAGTGTGCGGCCAGTCGTCCCTTCAGAGTAGCACCCCATATGTGTGAAGCCATTTACGCCTGGGTTGGGCTTGGGACCCAAGTCTTCGGTGGTGGAATAGAGCGAGAGTCTGCTTCCCGCACCGCAAGGCTGCGTTGCGTCTCCAGAGCAGGCCATGTTGCAGACCGAGTCCGCAACCTGGGCAGCCGCAGGAGCAATGCTGTTACCGCAGAAGCTATACCACTGGTCAGCATCAACTAGGTAAGGTAGGTAGCTCCACCGCCTTCAGGTCCCCAGAGAATGCTCACCATTCTACGCTGTACTCAGTTCCAGCAAACTTGAAGCCGCGGGTCTGGCAATAGCTGATGCATGTCTCGGCGGTCATATGGGTGCCGTTGACATAGCCGCCGCCGGTGAGGGTCCGCCCCGGAATATCTGTGTAACAGCCCTCATACTGCCATTGTCCTGGAAGAGTGGCAGGGACTGAAAGTTGAGCGAGTGAAAGGGTGACGAAAGAAGCAGCGAGGAGAGAAGAGAGAAGGGTCTTGGATGGTGAGGACTTCATGGTGAAGCCTTGTACGCCCAGTGAAGGACGTCAACACCGACTAAAACGAATGACAGGGTTGGGTTAACCGAATGGCAGAAAGAAGGAAAAGCCATCGAAGACGTGTGGGGGAGGCCATCTCTATATGTATCACCATCGCAAACTGTCAGCGGGGGGAGGGGTGTACGGCAGGATCCATCTCACTTTCTCGCTCGCCGAGGGCACGATGTGGGCGTATTGCGGAAATGGCCATCGCGAACCATAGGTTGCACAGACAGCAACGCTGCTCCTCTCTGCTAGGAATAGGCGGAACAAGGGCCCCCCGCAAAGCTAACACTCCTTTGGAGCGCGCGACTGGCTGGGCCCTTGCGCCAGGCCAGCGAGCCCAGCAAGCACCTGGTCT